GATTTCGAAAATAATATTATTTTATTTTGTCATACTATTTAATATCATAATGGAAATTTAATTTATCTGCTGACACTTTATTTTGTGTTTTGATGACATTTTATATAATGTCATGATCAGGGCCGGGCGCGAGGGGGGGACGGGGGGGTACCCCCCCAGAAAAAAAATTTTCGAAAAAATTTGAACGTGGTCCCCCCTGTGGATTTTCGGAAAAAAATTTTTGCAAAAAATCGGCACAGAGCTACCTGTGCCGATTTTTTGGACCCCCGCCCCCAGACCAAAAGTCCCCGCCCGGCCCTGGTCATGATGACAATTTTTTTCAGTTTTTGAGAAACACTTTATTTTATGTTTTTCTGACATAGCATTTAGTGTCACAATGAAATTTTAGTTAATGTCATGATGACATTTTAAATAACTTCATGATGTCACTATTTTCAGTTTGAAATTGATTTATGAGAGCTCTCGTTGGCTTTTATAAAAATTTTTTTGACTATAGCAGTATTTTCGTCTATAAAAATACGGTACCTTACTCTACCTATAACAGATATTTTCACGATGACACATCGACATATGTTTTTCAACTCGAGATGACAAAAAACCTGAAGTTAATTGTCTCATATTGTTATAAAAACCGTTGACGTCATTCCTTTGTTTCTTGAGACTTACTTGATCCGCCTATAGGGTAATCAGACGAATACTTATATTATCATACTTTAGAAGGCTTACTTGGGTTTTTATTTGACTGGTTGTTTTTTGGGTCTTAAGGATGAGGTTTTTTATTTGACTAGTTGCTTTAAAGTTATTTTTAAAGTTATTAGGGCGTGTTTTTATTTGAATGTTATACTAGACTGTCTTCTGTGCTGGGTGGGTAATTTTAGTTGGAAAGGAACGTAGGGTGGATTTGAAAATATTTTTTTTCGAAATTTTGAAACTTTTTTGAATTTAAGCCTGTTTCAGCTTTTAAAAAAAATTTAGAGAGTTGTACTTTTACCTATATTAAAAGTTTACTTTACCGTAATGTTGCTTATATGATAGTAGAGGTAATGATATCGTAAGATAGATCTGTAGTAAAAACTTTTTTGAAGGACCTACTATACAGGGGCATAGCTACGGTTTTTTAGGGGAGCGGGGGCGGGGGTGGAAGCAAAAAAAAATTGGTTCACAAGTTGTCCACTTACATTTACATACCTACCTGTGGAATTTTTTTGGATCGGCGTTATCTGCCATTATTCAAATTCTTCTCTTTCTATACTTCTCCACCGACACTTCTGCTACTATAACTATACCTTTTTTGGGACAACAAGCATTATATTATGATGGCTGTTTTGTTTAATTGATACCTTAACCCTTCTACACTCTAAACCTCTTCGATCTTCCTCTCAATCCATCAGTCAAGCTTTAAGGCTATAATTTAAGACCATCTATCTTTAACTCTATGATTTAAGACCGTCTAACAAGGTTCAATAATCAAATGTTTGAAGGCTCATAACCGTGACCGCAGGTATAATATGTATTGTTTATTGACCAGTGAAAGTAATGTTTAAGAAAAGAGAGGTAAAAAGCAGCGATCGTCGGCTGAGATCCGCCATACTTTCATACGCACGTGAGTCACAAAACGAGTTTTGCGCGTTTCATTAGCCAATCAAGGCGTTAAAACCCTTCTGGCGCAACGTTCGAACGTTTGAGACGAGCGTGCTGGAATATGTAAACTGAGTAGACGGTGAAAATTAGCTTGTAAATTAGTTAAATTAGTTAAAACATTAGTTAAAGTTAGCTTTAAAGTCACAAAAATGTTCAAATTTTATGGTACAGTGGAACAATTGTATAAAGATTTCTTCTAAAATGACAAGCTCGTATAACGAACAACTTTTTTTTACCTTAGTTAACATTAACTTTCCTTTATATGTATTAGGTGGCTTAAATAATTATGTGCCTCTTCTCAAAGCAAACTTTTGGGTTAGGGACACAGAATTATCTCAAAAACCTAATAGAAGAGAAATCTAATAGTTTAGGGCAATAAGAAGCGCACTCTCTTTTGTTTTTGTGTGGCCGAGTGGTTAAGCAGTTGGTCTCCGGTGCGGAAGTTTGTGAGTTCGAATCACACTGATTTTGTATAAATTTTTGCAATTTCAGCAGTAAAATTTAGATATTTAATATAATTTTAGATAAAAATTAACTTCTATTTAATTGTAAAATACGTTTGTAGTTTGTTGCTTGGATATATTTTTTATAAAAAACTTGATTTTTCTATATTTTTTAATCCCTTTTATCGGCCGTTTTTTACTTTTAAATAGGATTTACTAGACTAGATAGGTAGTTGATTATAATGAAGAGTTCTTTTGTCATATGATTGGCTATAATTTGAGCTCACCATTAGGTATTCCATCTTGTAAAGATAGGTATAGTAAAACTTTGTAATGTTGGATATATTAATGCCTTCTAAAGTGAGGTATGGTAAAGCTACTGTAACTTGATTTTTTGATTTTTAAACTTTAAAAAAAGTTGCAAAAATAGGGATCAAGTTAACAATTTATGATAATAACAAGATGCTTTGTACCTAATAAAAAATTGTATACTAACAATCACAATACCTTATATCAACAATCAAAATATAATTTCAATAATCCTTTTGAACCATCTATTTTGTGATGACATATCACCACCGGATGTAAGTGATGCTTTATCACTTCCTCATCTCAAATCAAATTGTAATTCTTTCAATTGCAAATCAATACCTCGGTCGATTCGGATGTTCAGACGTCGCTCAAAAAACTTTCGAAGATAAACGATTAATAAAAAAAACAGAGGCGAAAACGCATTTACCTCGGCTAGCCCACCTTTCCTCAGAAGCCGGTAATTGGTTTAGCGGGAGATCTCTGACGTTATATCATAATATTTATTGCTTTAACTTACACGTACGTTTTTAACCGCAAAACTTGTTTTGTCAACTTGTTGTAGGGGATGTGGACAGGGTATTATGATGAAAAAATGGGGGGGGGGTGGATTTGGACAGGGTATTATGATGAAAAAAATTGGACAGGTGATTGAAACAGGGGCTGGGGAGGGTGTGTATGTTGATACGGCCAATAGTTAGACCTGGAGGAGTTACAATCAAACCTCTTTAGTATGAAACCTAAGGGATTGAACAAAAATGCCATTATAACCAGGGCGCTACACGGTACAAGTAATTTTTGATAGCATGATGCTTAAGGAACGGGTCTAAAACTGTCATTGTAAACAGGGTGTCACACTATCCAGGTAGTTTTTCATATGAGTTATCACAAAAAAGCTGTCCGATAGGTGTCATTATATACAGGGTGTCATACTAAAGAGGTTTTATGGTAGTATTGTCAGCTGGTAGGAAATTGGAGGGCGACTATTGCAAAGTACCCTGTCTTCTTTCTTACAATGAGTCAGAAAGTGTGGGTATTAGACATTGAATAGAGATCTATGCTAGTACTTTTATAGAATTTAAATTTTAGTTTGGCGCAGTTTTTGGCATAATGTTGTAAGCTAAGTTTTACTTTTTTAACAAAATCTTGATGTTACAGTAAACCTAGAAAGATGTTTTTGAATTCAAAAATTTAGTTTTTTGGTACAGTGGCTCTTGTTAAATATAAGCGACCTTTAATACAGTAGGCTAACGTTATATTATAAGTTGTGCGACATAGCCTACTGTTCGTAATAAATATGTTGTTTGTGTACTTTTGTGTCTACTATAGGATAATGTTTATCTTTTTAAACCTTTATCTGTCTGTTAGTTCTATTTTTTGTATGGCGGTCTGATATTATAGTAGAGTTCTTATACATTATAGTATTAGGTTGTTCAAATAATTCAAGGCATGTCGTATGTTAACGTGCAAATAAATGCATTTTGGTGTCATGACTTCTGTGCCTCTCTAATAATACTAATATTATGTTGTTTAAATAATCCTGAGCCTCGTATCCTAAAAAATTTGCTTTGCGAGGGGCACAGAATTATGAGGAAGGGCACAGAAATTAATAAACAATCTAACAGATTACTCAAAAATAATTTTTTCTCAAAATGTCATTTATCAAAGTTGCAAATCCCAATGATAATACAAACCACGGTTCAGCCTCATCAACTAAAGATAACTTATCAACCTCGTTTTGATAAGTCACCTTTAGACGGACGATCCCGTTCCTCAAGTTACCTAAGGCTTTGAAAACTTATTGATGACTAGGTAAACCAGTTTTACTAGCCAAACTGTTTTTTATAAGCGCAAAGGGGAGATTTCCCTCCTCGATTCGTCGGGAAATTGAACGTCTCATTAAGCTCGCCAAAAGTAAAAGTGTCTACACATTGCAACTTTGTATTACCTCAGGGGGCATCATGGTTGGTGTTGCGATATTGTTTTGTTTTATACTGTGGTTATTTCTGACTTACTTCTTAGTATTTTGATGACATTTTATTGGGTGTCATTATGACATTTTTTTGGTGTCATGGTGACGTCTTTTTTAGTTTTATAATGACATTTAATATTGTATGTTGAAACTTTTTTAGTGTTATTTTGACACATACTTAGTGTTGTGATGACATTTTCTTAATGTCATGATGACTTTTTTGGTAGTGTCACGATGACTCTTTTTAGCGTTTTCATAACGCCTTATTAATGTCATCATGACATTTTTTTATCCATGACAATGTTATTTAGTGTCACAATAAAACTTTTATTTTGTTTCATGATGACATTTTGTTTGTGTCATGGTGAAACTTTGTTTAGAGTCATGATGACAATTTTTTACTGCCGTTCTTTACCTTATATAACAGTATATATCTCTTTATTTGACTAACACTTCTTATTCTACCTTTCCGTGCAAGCTAGTGCTGTTTACAGTACTAATGAATAATTACTACCTTTTAAATAACACTAATCAATATATAATGCTAATTTTTTGATTTCAGCGGCCCATTTCGAAGCCCGTGTTGTTAATTGTTGGTACATGCTGTAATTTTCGGGTATTTTTGTTTATTAATAATGTCAAAACATGCCACTGTAGCCAAGCACTGCAGCACGTTGGTAAGTTTTTGCTTTTTTATTCTGTTAGTACTATATAGTACGTTCAGAACGTACTATTTAGTAAGTGTATAAAATTTTTGGATTTAGTACTACATTTTATGCTCTAAAAGATGTATATTATATTTTTTTGAATGCAATTTTTATTTATTTTTGAAAATTGGATTACTGTAGGATTACTGTAACAAAATTTTTTCACTAAAAATATGATTTCAGCTTCTCCTACTGTTAGCCTGTATATGCCATGCCGAATCGAACAGTAAAACAGCACCATTGGCTAAATCGCCTCCCCTACAGCCTAAACTCCAAACCATCGATGGGACCAGCCAGATCACAGGTAAAGCTGCTCAACATCTTATGCAACATCATGAGGCTCTGAAGCAACAAAAGGGTACTGTAATATCCGTTAATCATGGTCATTCTGTACCACATGGACAAAGTGTACCACATGTAGTACCAAATGGTCAAGCTGTACAACGTATTGTACCAAATGGCCAAGCTGTACCACATATAGTACCAAATGGCCAAGCTGTACCACATATAGTAGCAAACAGCCAACCAATACTGCATACAGTACAAGGTGCTCAGTCAGTACCTCATTCAGTACTAAATGGTCAATCTCATTCCGTACCAAACGGTCGCTCTCTACCAGTACCAACTAAGCCTCAAGTACCAGTTAATGGTCAATCTACTGTCCTTGTTAACAATGGTCAACCACTGTTAGATAGCGGCGTAGATAATAAAAAAGTGAGCCAAAAGCTGAGCCAGAAGGCGGCTTCAGAAGGACTACCTTCATCATTCCGCCAGGCTTCACAACAAGGTGGTAAAGGTAAGACAAGCAATGAAAATTTGGAAAATACCCCCCCACCCCGCCCAGGAGGCTTTTTTTAGAATTTTTTTAGGTCTTTTTAAATTTAAAATATCGAAAAAAAAAGTTTTGGGCTTGGTAACTATGCTCCAGTAATTTTACCCCTCCCTCTTCTAAACACTGACCAGTCTTGGCTTACTTAGTCAGTTTATGACATTATGTTACACTAGCCCTTTCAAGGCCTTAAATTACCCTTTAAAACCCAATAATATCGACCTCCAATAAAACTCTACATTATCCACCCCAACCTTCAGACAAAACCCAGCCAGGAAGCAAAGCTCACGGCTACCAAACCCAACAATACGCGTCGACCGAAGGCGGTTCCTGTGGCGCTGGATCGTGTGCCAATGGAGTAAATGGTGGCTATGGAGGCCAACAATTCTCCAGCATCGACTACAACCCACTTCTGGCCGGCGGTGTTCCTGGTGGACCTGGAATCAAGGCTAGAATCAATTCGAGAGGATTTCAGTATGCTTCGGCTTTGATTGCACCAATCTTGGATCAACAGATCAGAAGGGCCAGGATTCCGACCATTACGCAGAGAATTGAGCAGGTAATTAGAGATAAGACTACTAACAAATAAAAAATGTTTTAAGACTACTATTATTATACCAATTTTATAATAGAATGGCACATACTAGACTTATATGTTAAAACAGTAAATTGGCGCCAAATTTAAACGTTGATTTTTATAAAATTCAAGAATTGAATCCTCTAAAATAGAAATTTAAGCTTAAAGTCTAGAAATATTAATAAAATTGATAAATTCGAATCAAATCTTGCTCAAACTGTGGGCTTTACAAGCCTTTCACCTAGGGGTGAGAAACGGGCCGTCTAGGCCCGGCCCGGCCTTGAGCAAAAACTGAAACGGGCCGGGCTCGCAAAAAAATATTTTAAATTTTTAAAAATTTTTTATTTCAATCCCCGTTGATGTTTTATGATTTTATTGTGTACTATGATCCATAAATGATCTGAAAGAACAATGTGAAGCCTTAATTTCCGTTTATTTTTTAAGTTTTAAAATTTTTTAAAACGGGCCGGGCCTAGAAATTTTCTGTCCGGGCCGGCCTGAGAGAAAAATGAAAACGGGCCGGGCCTAAAGGTTGGGCCCCGGGCCTAAAAAGTGGGCCCGGCCCTTTTCTCACCCCTACTTTCACCTTTCTTTTTTACATTTTCAAACACTTCGTCTAAATTTATAACGAAATGTCAACGAATTTATCGGAAAAGACTTGGACGTTCTCTTCCTGTTTTCTTCGGTTTTCGACTAGTTTTTGTTGATTTGCCGGTGATGAAACGTTCAAGACATTGATATTCTTTAGTGAATATGATCGTTTATGTTATTGGAAGGTTTTATGAGCATTTGTTCAGGGATTTCAAACTTTTTTTAAGGATTTTAATGGTTTTAGGTAATAAAATAGAAAAAAGCTTGAGGAAACGGCTAAAATGTTGGTGTAAAAATGGTTTTTGGACAAAAATATAGTATTGAAATTTAACACACGCACATAAAATATCCGTATTTTACAATTCAATCAAATTTAATATCTTATCTACTTTATCCTATGCCTGAAAATTAAGCTTTCTGTTTGAAAACTTGAAAAAATGGCACTTCAACCTATGATAATATAAAATATTGTCGTTTTAAAATTAAATTAATATATTTTCAGATCAATGGCTGTATTACCGTTTACAATTTGTACGTTTCACGATACAGATGTCCTCAACGTGTTGTTCTTTATCCAGCGCCTCCAAACCAAATCGTTCTCGCGGTTCAAAACTTGGATGTCGGGTAGGAGTTTTACTGTTTTTGAACTTGTTGTATTGTTTTTAACCTTGGTGTGATGTTATTAATATGTGAAAAGGATGTGTTTCGGTTTTAAAATTAATATTTTGGATTTAATTTCAAAAAGAAAAAGGAAAAGTTCGAAAAAGAGGAACATAAATTGTGGTATACCTCAAGGTGGTGATGACATCTTTAATATTGTCATAACTTTTTTCAAAAATAAGGTAGAAATATGAATTTTTGTGGGATTAGAGACTATTGTCTTTGTCAACTAACGACGTTTAAAATTTTTTAAATTCTTCATAGTAATAGAGTTATAGAGGTTTGTCGCACACCTATTTTTTCAAATTTCAAAAAAAAATTGAAAAACAAGCTTTTCAACTAAATTTGTAAATGTTTGGTTAATACGTGTTTTAAAGCATAAAAAGTTATGTATTCTCAAAAAGTTTCATATTTCTAGCTAGTTTTTTGGCTTGGTATCACCTGATTGACATTTAAAAAAATGAAAAAGTTCGAGTATTCTTGAATTTTTTTGTTTTTCCTGAATTTTTATGCTTTTTAAACCTTTGAAGATGAGTATACTGATAACTATGAAATCACCAAACATTTTAATATATTTTCAATAACTTTCAAATTTCAGAGTAACTGGAAACTTGGCCGGAACAGCGAATATCTTGATTCCAATCCCAATCTCTGGAATAATCGAAGTGAATGCTCACCAAGTGTCAGTCACAGTAGCATTGGTTGTGGAGCGGGCTGCTACTGGTGGTATTAGACTTAGACTTGCTAGCTGTCAAGCATCCATTGGCTATCTTGATGCTTACATTGTAAATGGTGGACTTATCGGTGACTTGGCTAACGGAATGTTCAGAGTATGTTTTAGATGTTTGTTTAGTAAATGTGGGCACAAAAGGCTAGGAGTTGTGTTTGGAAAGGTTAAGGGATTGATTTCTTTTGAAAAGTTATATGATTATACTGTTAGGCTATGATAATATGCAACTTTTTACTATTTTAACCACCATTTCAGGGTCAAATCTCTAGCCAAATTCGTAACATGCTCCCAGGCGAACTCTGCAACCGACTTCCAGGAATTCTGGATTCAGAAGTCAACTCTAAGCTTGGTGGAATCCCACAATCCATCTCCCTCACCCAAATTCTCAGCGCTGTCGGTGGAGCTATGGGAATTCAATCACTGTTGGCTGGAGCGGCCGCTGGCGGTAGTGGTGGTCAATGTCCATCTAGGTGTGGTGGAGGAGGTGCACCAGTACAAGCACCAATATCAGCACCAATTTCTGCCCCAGTATCGGCTCCAGTTGGCCCAGCACCAATTCCATTGCCTCCAGTCGGCGCTGCGGTCCCATACCAAGCTGGACCATCTGTACCAATCAGTGCGCCAGTTGGATCGGCTGTTCAGTACAAGGTTGGACCAGCTGCGGTAAGTGGGGTGGAAAAGTTTGTGGAATAAATGGTTTTTGGGTTTTTTGGTCAAAAAGTGTGTAGAAAAAATGTACGTAGTATATGATTTTTTTAAAAATGTTGTTTAGCATGCCGCTCCAAAAGCCCAGTCGATTCCATTACCTACAAACAGCAGTCACAGCGGTGACAATCTTACTGCTATCAACTCGAAGAAGGTCCAACGGTTCCATGTTTCTGGTGTTAGTGCTGTTCAAGTAGGTTTTTTACTTGATTTTTCAAATTTTATTTGATATTTTAAACGTCAGTTTTTCAATTTTTAAGTTAAAGTTGGTATGTAAAATACTATTTTTTGAATTTTTAGTTAATATTTGATACCTAAAATAATAAATTTTGGATTTGTAACCCATTTTTTGCCATTTTTAATGGTTTTTTGACTTATCTTTTGACACTTTCTTATTTTTGTGCCTAATTTCGAAAAAAATTTAATTATTTTTCAGGCCGCTCGCCCTCTCCCCCGACCAGACGGATTTGACGCTCGTGGACGTCGTGTTGCCAGAGCAGCACCAAAAGCAACAGTACCAGTCGTAATTGAAAGCCGCAACAAAACGAAGGCCAAGGCTTTTGCCAGCGGATCAGTTCAATTCGCTAACGATCCCAACATTTGTGCCGGATGCCCAAGCAGCGGAGGTGGAAATCAACTCGGATTCTTGTCGACTCTGGTTCAGAGCTTGGATTTGGTAAGAATTGTGGATAGTTTTTTTTTAGTTTATATTGAAAAAAAAAAACAAAATGTTTGATTATCTAGGATTTTTTGGTTGTTTTTGTGGTTGTTGGCAGTGTTTTGCCGGACCGGTCCGGATTTTCAAACATTGCAAAATTGAAAATAAATTTTTAGCTTATGGTTTGAACTTTTAAAAAATAAATAACTTTTGCGAAGGTCCGTCTCATACAAGTTCCTCGCTAAACATTTAGACCGGCCGGACCGAATCGGTCTTGCCGGTCCGGGCGGTCCATTTCGGTAATAACTTGATAGCTAAAGACGGATTTTCACAAAAGTTATTTATTTTTTAAAACTTCAAACCATAAGCTAAAAAGTTATTTTCAATCTTGCAATTTTTGAAAATCCGGACCGGTCCGGCAAAACACTGGTTCTCGGAGGTGTTTGAAAGTAGAATAAGGTATATGTTCGAAAGTAGAGTAATGTTTTTTGAGGTTTAAGCAAGCATTTAGAAGGTAGAATAACAAGAAAAAGCGAAAATCTTAATTTTGTCGGAAGGGGGTGCTTTATTAAAAAAATTTCAAAAAATGTGGATTTTTTCTGAATTCTTGAAATTTTTTTTTGTTTTTGTTATCTTTTTTAAAAAACGGGCTAGAAACGTTAAATTTTGATCAATAATCTATTATTTATTTTGCAAACTAATTATTAATACAAATTTATTAATTTTTTTTGGATTTTTGTTACAGTAATTTATATACCATACGTTTTTCTATTTCAATTTTTTTGGAGGCGTTAATTTTTTTGAAAATTCATGTTTTTCAAATACATAATTTTTGATAAGAATAAAAAGTTGTATATAATCAGAAAGTTTCATGTTGATATATTATCGTTTGTCAGAGTTATGATTAATCGAATATGTGGAAAATGTCAAAAAAATATCGATTTTGGTTTAAAAATAGTTTTTTCTTTTGATAAGCTGTATTTGTTAAAATTAAATTTAAAACTAAATTAAAGTTTTATGTTTTTTGACTTTTAAAATGTGTATAAAATTATCAGGCATTGTGATATGAAGATTAAAAATTGTGAATCAATTTATCTTTCTATGCTTTATTAAACATACGAATTCAATTTTGCTCAAAAAAATTTATTTTGGTTAAATTTGAAAATTTTGAGAAAATTTTCACCATTTTGATGAATTTTGTGAAAAAACCTTCGATTTTTTAAAAATTGTCAAAAAATTAAAACTATCTATGACTAATTTTAGAACAAGCTCAACTCTCTAGCTATCACCACACAATTGCTTCAAACCTACGCCACCAACAACGACTACACCATCGAAATTAATGGTGAATTCTCTCCCAACGGTCAAGGCGGTACACCATTCGGACCATTCCCAATGTACTTCCCATACTCGCCTGGATCCAAAATGGCAGAGGTTTTGGTCAGCGACTACACGATAAACTCTTTGTTCTACTGGCTTCATCGTACTGGCTTCTTGACCTTCAGAATCGGTCCAGAAACTCCAAAGATTGGAGAATTGTTAAGAACTACATGTGCTGATGCTGATGACACGTTGGAGGATCATGGTGTGGAAGTTGATGAGGAATTGAGAAGGAAACATAAGAGACAGACTGAGTAGGTTTAGATTGTTTAGGATAGAAAAAAACTTTATTATGAACTACGAAATGGCAAGAATTTTCTTTAAAAAACAAAAAACCGCAAGAACTTTCTTTACAGGACATGAAATGGCAGGAATTTTCTTTACAAACTCAAAAATAGCGAAAACTTTTAATTATTAAAAATTCCAGGGTCTCACCATACGCTGACTTTGCTCGTCTCCGTACCAAACGTCAAGACACTTCCTTGACTGATCTAGGTATCTGCTTCGGTGACATTCTACCAGCCATCAGAGAACGATACCCAAATCAACGTATCGTTATTTCCATCAGAACTCGTCAAGCACCATCTATCGTACTGTCACAACGAAATGGAGGTACAGTAACGCTGGATTTGATAGCAGATGCCGAAATTTACATTGAATCCACGAATCAGCGTGTTGGAGCTATCACGATATCAGCAGCAGCTGATATCATAGTATCGACTTATGGCGGTAGAATTAGTGGAAGCGCTCAAATCACGAGGTTACAACTAAATGATTACGAAGGAACGTTGGGATTACCTCAGGATGCTTTGGACAATTTGGGATCATTGGGCAAGGAAGTCATTCAAAAGGTAAGGGTTTGAGTATATCATAATATAGTGTAAATATATGTTTGGATTGTATTGTTTTGGCTATAATTTTCTGAAGAGAATAGGTGGGGAGTTGTAACGTTTTTTGATTGTAGGATATACTGTTTGTTTAGGGTTGCCAAAGGTTTTAGTTTGTGAATTTTGAAAAGTTACAGTAATTTTATGGTAAACTCATTTTTTCGATTTTTCAAAGCAATTTTTTGACAAAGTTGATGGTACTCATTTCATAAAGCTTGCAAAGATGTATTAGTTCTGAAAGGATGATGTTCATATTTTATTCCCTGGCAGATTTATGAGCATTTAAAGAAGTCGAAAAACCAAAAAAGTTCGAATTCGGTTGGATGGCTTGCATTCTTTTCGGGATTTTAAGGCGTTTTAAGCATACCTTTTGTAAAAACACAGTAGAATTAGTATTTGTTGGGCATTAATGATATTAAGATTACTTTTTTTACGAGTATGTAGTTTGTATAAGAAATTAAATCAACTTTGCTGTAAGAATGTTTTTTAGTTGTTTTAATTTTCGAAAGCTTTTTTGATAAATTTGATGGGACGCATTTTGTAGAGCATAAAAAGGTGCATTAGTTCTGAAAGTTTTCTGTTTATACTTTATTTTCTGGCAGAGTTATGAGCATTTAAAAACGTCGAAAAACTAAAAAAGTTCGAATTCGGTTACAAAACGAGGGATTTTTTGGGCTTTTAAGGCATTTTTAGTTGATTTTTTGACCAACTTAAAAAAACCTATTTTTATAACTATTTTAGGTACTACGAAAAATATTATTTTTTAGTTTTGGTTTTCAAAAGTTTTAAATTTTTCAAATAACTTTTAAAATTTGAATTTTCAGGCCGCAAACGACGCGCTTCAAAACGGAATAGCCTTGAATATTCCGAGCGGAATTGGTGGATTGCCAATTACCTTTGTCCAACCCGAATTCCATATCGTCGAGCACGCTCTTCACATCGAAAGCGACTTCACCGTGGATCCAGCGGGACTTCAGAGTCTACTCGGTGGAGGCGGCGGAGGGTTCGGAGGATCTTGTCGACGATGAAAGGATTTACTTTGGCTACTATAGTATCTTTTATAGATCATACTCTTTACTATAGGATCTTTGATGGAACATAGTATTTACTATAGTATCTTTGATAGGTCATAGTATTTACTATAGTATTTGTTATGCCATGGTTTGTAAGATTTACTGTATTATCTTTAACGGATAGTACCGTATCTACTATAATATCGTTGATCAAAGTTTTTACTATAGTATTACAGTAGTATCTTGTTCATCGTATCTAGGTTAAATGAAGTGCTCAGCAGTGGTTATTGTACTTGTAATTTTATTGGTGTTTTAAGCGGAAATTTTATTATATAATACAGTAGGAACAAGTCATGCTATATAGTACTATACTCTAAAAAGTTGCTTGAAAACGTTTGAAGACCTACTTAATAAGGTCACAAGCTATAATCACTACATTTAGTTGGTATTTCTGACTTTATCAATGGCTTTAGGTAACATTATCTTAATTTTTAGGTAACAAATAACCACTGATAAGGACAGAAGCTACCAACACCTCATATTGTTAATATTGTTGTTTATTTTTCCGTATTTAGGCCTATTCTTGCAATATTGTATGTTTGTACATTCGTCTCACTTAATAATACTGCCATATAACGGTGTCTTTCCTTCTCATGTCAGGTGCATTGTAACACATGTTTGTATTATAAAGGTTTTACTATTTTTGGCTCGGATTTTGATGATGTTTTGAATGGTTTTGAAGCAAGAACGGTATTTTAAATAATTTTTACTCTTAAACTTATTAAATGGATGATTTTAAATTGAATTTTTAAGGACTTTTTCGAATTACGAGTATATTTGAAACGCCCATGAGGTCCAGGGGCCGGACATAGCCGAAGAAAGGTCGAAAGGGACTGGGCCGGCACTTGCGGGCTTGATGGCTGGTTTCAGCGTAGGTCCCGGAACGAAAGATTTGGCTTGCAAAAAGTGTAAAGCGAATTTGACGTAGACCTGGAAAGGGACCCACTAGCAGGGGCGGGCGGGGACTTTTTGGTCCAAACCCCTAAAATGTGGGTTTGGCTCCCTTGCAGGTCTAATTATGGCCGAACTATGACGCAAAGACGGAACAGACCATTTAAAAATGTAAGTTATGTTTAAATTAAAAATTTTAAAGATTGATTTTTTATTTCTAGGGTATGGTACAGTTGGGTATATTAAGATAATATGAGTAAGTATAAGATGTCGTAACTCCTTATTAAATTACTTTACTTTGTTATAAAACTTAAACAAAAGTATTTTTAAACCCCCAAATATACGCTTGTTATTCCATTTGATCAATTACCGAGTAGGTTCGGTTTAAAACTCTTGATTTCAAATTGTAATCGAATTTTTATTTACCTTTCTTTTCTCTCGTTCACGCTTTACTTAATGTGATAGGTTCGGGCTTGATTTTTACAAATCAATTTGAATTAAAAACTGTTTGTAAAACCGTTTTATAGGGTTTTATATTAAGGTACAGCTCTTTTATATTAAGCAGTGTGATTTTTATATTATCATACAGGGACGTCGTTTGGGGGGGGGGTGGTTCGGGGTGACTCCCCCCCCAGAGCCGATCCGAAAAAAATCCACAGGTAGGAGGTACCTGTACGTGAAAAAACGAAAAAAAAAATTTCGAAAAATCGGTCCACAGGAGGTGTGGACCAAAAAAATTTTTTGGGTATTGACATATACATTACTTGCTATATATATGTGACAAATACTTACGTTATATTGACATAAAGTGTAAATATATAGTATGAAATGTCATATATGATATATATTACAATGTTAGGGTGTTCACATAATTCTGTGCTCCTACTCGAAACAAATTTTTGGGGTTAGGGGCACCAAATTATTTGAACAGACTAATAGTTTATATATTTAGTAATTTATATTATACATGACATGAAGTGTGATATACTATGTAAATTGCAAATTAATTTTCACGTACTTTACCAAAGTCAATTTTTTTCAAAATTAAATTAAAAAAAATTATTTTTGATATTTCGTGAAACTTCTACAAAATTCGTCAAAATTCTTGCTATTAGCTTTAAAAAAGATAATTTAAAAACATAGACATACTGATTATATTTATTATTAGGGGTTCCCTCGACTGATAAGGAACGTTCTTTGCGTGAATTGCATCAGCTTTATCGTATAGTGCGTAAAATGTAATGCAAGGTAAATGAAAATTTTTGGTTTTTTGAAATAGAAAAAGGTAAAATACGGACATTTGAACCTTGCGAACAAATTTCTTGCCATTTAAGGTTTTGTAAAGGAAGTTATTGCCATTTGAGGTTTTGTAAAGAAATTTCTTGCCGTTTTACGTTTTGTAAAGAAAGTTATTTTCATTTGAGGTTTTGTAAAGAAAGTTCTTGCCGTTTTACGTTTTGTAAAGACAGTTTTTGCATTTTTACATTGAATCCGCGTGTTTTTTTGAGTTCGGCAGCCTGCGGGTGACAAATTATACGACAAATCTTATTTTGTCTTTTGTAAATGGCAATTTTGCCATGTCATGCTTTATAAAAAAAAGTTATTGCCATTTTATGTTTTGTACAGAAAGTTATTGTAATTTTATGTTTTGTAAGACAGTTTCTGCCATTTTAGGTTTTGTAAAGAAAGTTTTTGCCATTTTGCGTTTTGTAAAGAAAATTCTTGCCATTTTATGTTTTGTAAAAAAGTTCTTGCCATTTTTACTATGACACAAAAAGTTCTGGCATTTAATTTTAGAAAACTCTTATCACTAATTTCGACTATTGTAAAACCAGTTAAATTCGAGGGATTCCCTTAAAATGCACCCAAACTGATAAAGTCGAATGTTTTTGGGGGTATTTCCTTAGAAATTACGTTCAATTACATTTTTTAGTCTGGTAGATAAGGAACGTTTAAAGAACGGTCATTTTGAAGAATATTAATTATAATTGTTTCACGGTCAAAAAGTGACTAGAAGCCGTATTTTTGGGGAAAAATGGTTTACTTTTACTTAACTATAGTCTTGATTTTAACTTTATGCTCTAGATCAGTTCTAGCTCTGCCTTATTGTTAGTCTTGCCTTAGACCACTTAGCCTAGCTTTAGCTCTATTCCTGTCTTGGTCTGCCTGGATCTGTCCTTCGCTAGATCTACCTTAGCTTAGACCTGGCTTTAACTTTAGTTTCAGCTTTAGTTCTAACTTTAGCTCCGTTTTAGTTGTGTCTTAGAATTGTCTTAGATTAGCATTAGCCCTATTTTTGCTCTAGTTTTGCTTTAGCTTAGCCTTAGCTTTACTCTAGACCTGCTTTAGTCTACACTTGCTCTAGCCTGGATCTACTTTTAGCCCTAGCCCTGCCATATTTTGGGAAAAATTGTTTGTAAAATCGTGTACTGTATACCACAATATGTGAAAAAGATTTAACTTGTGTCATTACAGAAATGTGCTTAAAAGCAGTTCGAAATTGCATCCGATTGGGTTGTTTTGAGACCTTATTCTGGAAGAACCATCATCACCTACCTCAAGATGGCGCTCCAAGAAAGCCTGGCATCCTAGAACAGTGTTGTATTGGTGCTCATAGGCTTAATCATGTAAGTCAAGCAGGGACGTCAATTTTTGAAAAATCGATCCACAGGTCCCTCCCTACCTGTGGACGAAAAATTTTTTTTCGACCTCCCCTTCCCCCAGAGAAAATCCGTAGCGACGTCCCTGAAGTCAAGCTATGAAATGATCTTATGATTGGCGTTTTTTAACTTATGACATTATCTCAGAAATGGCATTTTAAACTTTTAAAATTTTTTTGTGAATTAGTCTTCATTATGAAACTTTTTAATTTTTAGCGTTTGACTTTCATTTTTGCTATAATTGGAATAATATTCGCCATTTTCTACACATGCCTCTTCCTGCACCTCAATCTACCATGGTTTGTTGTGATACTACCTATCATAGAGCTGATCTCTTCGATTCTTGTCCTAATTGGCAATATGGAAACAAGACCCTGGATGTATTGGCCTCATTTTGTTTGGAATGTAAGGATTCTAGCCATGATAATTTGCTTTAGGCTTGCCCTAACTCTGCTCTAGCCTTGTCTTAGTCTTGCTCTAGCCTTGCCTTAGTCTTGCTCTAGCATTGCCTTGGCCTTGCCTTAGCCTTGCCCTAGTCTTGTCTTAGACTTGCTCTAGTCTTGCTTCTAGCCTTGTCCTAATCTCACCCTTGCTCTAGCTACGCCCTATCGTTGCCCGAGCCTTGTCCTAGCCTTGCTTAGCTTTGCCACCCTTCTCTAGCTTTGTTCTAGCTGTGTTCTATTCTAGTCTTAGTCTTAGCGTTGCCGTAGTTTTGCCCTAGTTTTACATTAGCCTTGCTTTAGCTTTGCCGTAGCTTCACTCGGGCCCTAGCTTTGTTCTGGCTTGGATTTATTCTTTAACTAGCCTTGCTTTGCTCTAGTTTTGCTTTAGCTTTGCTTTTGCCTTACCCTAGCATTCCTTTAGCTTTAGCTTTTTCTCAGCCTAGCCTTGTTTTTGCCCTGACTTAGCCGTGCTTTAGCTTTGTCCTAGCCTTGCTCTAGAGTTGCCTCAATATTGTTTAGCTTTGCCATAGCTTAGCCTTAAATATTTTATTCTTTCAGTTCTTCCTGGTAGTTCTCTTCCTCCTTCTCTGTGTCGTATTCCTTCTCGGTGGACTAGCCTACGCTCGTCGAGACGACTATGCCGAGAAAGAAGCGGTTGGAATATTCCCTGAGGCTTCACGAGCCGAAATCTACATATATGGCCTGTTAATCATCTTGGGTCTATTCTTCCACGCTGTACTCGCTGCTGTATATGTGGCATTTTCATATCGTGACTATATCTACATGAGGGATTACTTGGTAAATCAACGATATAACAAAGAAGATGGCAAGGTGTACCCTGCTATGAGACCGTTAGAAATTGTGACGCAGAAGGGGTATTATCCACAGAATTTGACGCAGGATACTATGAGTTGTAAGTTGTTTTTATTTAGGGCTTGTAAAGAAAGTTATTGCCATTTTATGTTTTGTAAAGAAAGTTATTGCCAGAACATTACAAATTTCATTTTTGAACCTATGTGCTATCATACCCACATCTAATTTCAGCCTCATACGACGTATATACCCCTCCACTGACGGTAGAAGATCGCCAGAAGATAGAAGAAGGACATCATGTATATTATGTCCCAATCAAAATTGAGAGAGGCGATTCTCATGGAAAGTCTTTTGTCGATGCATTAACCAGAAAAGAAACTTTGAGCGACAAATTCGTTAAAAATACAGTACTACATCCGGCTAGCGAAATCTCTAAACCTCATCAGCAAAAATTTTAGATTCGGAAAGAAAGTTCTTGCTTTCTTTGTTTTGTAAGGAAAGTCTTTGTCAGTTTTAGTTTTGTAAAGGAAATTCTTGCATTTTAAGTTTTGTAAAGAAAGTTCATGCTATTTTTTAGTTTGCGAGAAAAGTTATTGCCATTTTATGTTTTGGAAAGTAAGTTCTTGCTAGTTTTTAGCTTGCAAAGGAAGTTTTTGCGGTTTTATAGCAGAATTGTTTAACTTTCATTCTGTGCAGCCTGCGCGGGACAAGTTGTACGACAACTCTCAAAACTTTCGTTTGCAATGACATTTAGTGTCATTTTCTATTTTATAAAGAAAGTCCTTGTTGTTTTTAGTTGTGTAAACAAAGTTTTTGCATTTTTACGGTCAGAAATTTTCCAGAAGCATCTTTTATTTTAAAATCACTGTATTTTTTCGATGTTATGACACTTTTTCGTCTAAAATTCGGTAAAACACTATCTTTTTTCAATTATAATTGGTTTTATATTGGTCTCAAAACTTTTACTTTGCCATTACTATATTGTTATTACTTTTTAAAATTACTTTTGTTTGTAAAATAAAGAAGAATATATGAATTTTAGATTAAAACAAGGTCAATGTTTATATTTTTTTAACTTTGCTATAGCTTGGACAACATTGTGCGTATTTTACATAAAACTATATCTTTTAAATGATTCATTATGTTATCAGTAGTCTGGCAGTTGTTGTGCAGCAGCACTCCTTTCTTCACCCTTCTGCAGCCTGCAACTTTCGAGGCGCGAGTCGCGGCGGAAAGACATTTTTCACAATTTTTCTTCAAAGTTTCGGCCAAACAATTCGAACTTTTGGATAAAAAACAATAATATCTTTTGTTTCCGTAATGTGTTCAATTCATTTTGGTAAAATATTTGGTCGTTTTGGCGGTCATGTTATTAAAATGGAGCTTTTTGATGGGTTTTTTGATGGTTTCAAAGGTTTTCGGCCTTATGCCGCCTCGACAGGAATGTACACCTGAAGATAAACATCCAATGTAAGATGTATTAGATTGTTCGGGATGTCAGAGAGTGATAAATGTAATTAGTTGTGAGATACTTGTTGTTTTAAAGTCTGTTTTTGAGTTTGTAGGTAACGAACCTGAATATTATAGTAGAACATATTGCGTTTGGTTATAACTTTTTTTAAAAAGCAGCTAGCAATCTGTAATTTTTTGAAAAGTTAGAACATTTATCTTGCTAACTGTTTGTTAAAGATAATTTTAAATTTCAGAGGGATCTTGAAGCTATTTTACTTTTTCTCGACGGATTTTTAAAAGTTTTACTTTTTTGTTGTTTTTTTGTTATAAATTGTCTATAGTTGGATTGAGCAACTCAAATTTACATTGATTATTATGTTTACTAAATATTTTTATAATTCTTTGCGTTTTATATTAACCTTGACAATGTTTTAGAACGATCAAGAACGATGAATGCAAGGAGTTCAATTTTGAGGTGGCTATCATGGAAAAAGATCTGAAAGATCAAGGAATTCGATTTAAATTTGAGGCGAAACGAAGTTTGATCAAGAATAATGTTACGTGAGTTTTATTTTTATTACTTTTTGTTTTTTGGTATAGAAACCATTGTTGTTCATGACTGTGGAGTTTTCATGGCTAAAATACCTCGTTTTTAACATGAAATTGGACTTTTTCGTTAGAAAATGACATAAATATTGTTTGAAATTGTGTTTTGTGGATCTAAATCTTTTGTTTTGTTGAAATCTCGATAGATATTACGAAAAAACAGCCAATTTTACATCAAAAACGAAGGTTTAACTAATATTTTTGTTGAAGTTAACAATTTCTTTTGGGTTTTCTTATTATTTTTTGATTTTTTAGGGTCGAAGTATGGTTTGAGCATTGTTTAGGATTCACAGTATCTCGGGAAAGGACCAATAACGCCAGATTCCTTATAAGACATCCATGTAAGTTGATGTAGAAGGCCTTTTGATGTTTTGAAGCATTCTTTGTTTGATTTTGGGAAGAAATTTGATTTTTTATTGATTTAGTACTTGAATACTGTTTAATATCATAATTATTGATATAAACATTGACATGTCTAATACCTCAATATTTTAGCTCCAAATGCTACTACTGACTTTATATACGAAGATCAATATTTTGAAGTGTCGGTTTCGGAAAATGCAGATATAATTGAGTTTTATGCACCAAGAAGTCGATACACAAGCAAAATGCAGTTCGATTGTGGTCTGAACTTGAAAAAGATCGAGGAGGGAGACAATCATACCTACCTGAGTGTACCTATTGGCTTTAGATACGATCGGAATAATCCTACTGTTTTTGTCAAGTTTGTAGGTTTTTGGGGGTGGATTTTGAATTTTTTAAAAATTTTTGATTTTTTAAATTTTTGAAATTTTGAATTTAAAGAAAAATTTCAGGACAACAGCGTGTACTACGGTAAAGTGCCGAAACAAATCGAGGAAAAAAAGGATAAGCATCTCCATCTTACTGAACCTGCGAACACCTGGGTTATGCCTCTTGTATTCATCTCTGCTTCATTGTAGGTTTATTGTTTACTAAACTTAAAATGGCAAAAACTTTCTTTACAACACATAGAAACGCAGAAACTTTCTTTACAATACATAAAATAGCAAGAAATTTCTTTACAAAACTTAAAATGGCAGAAACTTTCTTTACAGAACTTAAAATGGCAGAAACTTTCTTTACAGAACATAAAATGGCAATAACTTTACAAACCTCAAATGGTAAAAACTTTATTTCCAGTATCTAAAATTCTGATTTTTCTTAATTTCAGCGTTTTAATGTTAGCATTCGGTGCCATCGTTGGATCCTATTACAAGTTTTGTCACAAACAGTCGGAACCAAACAATGAATTCAGCTCAAGAAAGGAAGATCATTCCGACCGGTCGAAGAAACAAGATTCCAAAAAAGAAGTCAGTAGTGGTAGCAAAACCGAGGATTCTCAGAAGTCGAAAAAGCAGAATTCAACTCAAGGTTTGGGCAAAGAGGTCGCTTCTCAAAAGGGCACCGTCAATACCTCGAAAACCACCACTACTTCGAATGAGCATTAACTTTACTATTTTGCTGCCTTATAATCTTATATTAGCATAGTTGGTATATGTTAAAGGCTGGCATATGGAGTAGTATAAGTTAAAAGCTGTAGTTCTATGAATATTCTAAAATAAAGGTAGTTATTGTGGAGAAAATCAACTTGATTTGAGGTTGATATGGCTTTTGATAGCTTTACAAGGTAAATTTGTGAGCTTTTGGTGATGTTGTTCCAATGTTGTTTATGATTTTTTGGGTAAAAAAATGGTTTTTATATAGGTATTGTGTATTTTTGTTATGTCTCAAGGTTTTCAAGGGTGTTAATTTACCTTTTATTTGTGTCATGAGCTTTTATTGATGTTCTTTAAAATTTTTTGAGGTTTTTTGCTTTATTTCTTTGGTTTTCTTGACTAATTATTGATGTCTTTGTACTATTTTTGTCCTTTATTTGATAACACTGATGCGTTTCTTATTCTTTTACGTGTATATTGGTCTTTTTAATTCAATTTTGTTTTTTAAGGCTTTATGTGGTATTTATTTCTATGTATTTATTGACCTAAAATTTGTGTTTTTGAGGTATAATGTACATTTTTTTATTTTTTATATGTTTTTGTTCTTTCTTATCTCATCACTTATAATTTCATGCTGTTCATTATCTTTTCATGACATTTTGTCACTGATATTTGACTAACAGTATGGTATTTTTTGTGAATATACAGTAGAATTATATTTTAGAAAGTTATTACGGTCTGACTCGTACATCACGCATCGGACGGGGATTTAAAACTCGTTATAGGGGAGTTTCGTTATACAGGAGTCTTACCATAATACAAAAATTCGCTACTATACTATGCTTTATAGAGTTCTATGGCCGAAATGACTGCGCGGTCTACTTGGTATATTATTATAGTGGTTTCGGTTTCTATAGCAACGTATCTTTTCGTATTTTTTTGCGTTTTACCTTTAAGAATGGGCATTAATTAACCCTTCTAATGTTTTGTAGCAAAATGGCAAAACATTCTTTTACAATGGCAGTAAAAATCTTTGAATTAGGTTTTTGGAGTACGCAGTGCAATTTTTTCAAATTGTAGTTGCCCTGTGCATTTTGTCAAAAAATACATTAAACAGGAGTCTGAATTATTTTTTTTTCTATTTTCTTATGAGTCTACTTTTGCTTTGATTTTTTTATTTTTAAAATTTTTGAACTCTTTTTCTAAACTGCACAGTGCAATAATAAGCATTTTAGTTTTTGCACCGTGCACGATTTAAAAAGAATTTTTTTGGTAGCAATAATTCTTTTTTCCATTTTTAATTTTGTAAAGTAATTTTTAAACACACATCTCCACTAATCATATAGCCAAATGGCAAGAGTTTTTTAAAGTTGCAGTGTGCAAGTGAATATGTATAATTTTTTGTTTTGCACGGTGCATTTTTTTAACTTTGATATTTACCTTGAATTACTTTTTATGATATTTTTATTGTTGTCATAGTAATTTTTGTACTATTTTTTTAATATAAGACTGATCACAATGCATTTGCAATGCAATTTTCAAGTCTACATAGTTTTTAAAATTACTGCACAGTGCAGACCTTTTTTAGACTTTTTTTCTATTTTAACTTACTTTTATAGTCTAAAAGCGTTATTTTAAAACTGACCATAACATTACAGTTATAAATTGTGTATTTACAGCCATGTATGGCCATGACAGTGATAACGAAAGCTCAACATCGAAGGAAACGACTAAGGCGGGTCCGAGTCAAAAGCCAGTAATCGTGACAAAGGTTGATACACGACAAGCAATTACTGAGGCGTAAGTTGGTTAATAACATGTTGGTATTTTAGGCATTGTATAATTAAATGGTAGTATATTAGATAACTTAATGATAGGGTGGGTTTTATGTAATGTTTGGTTATATTGTAGTAGGGTAGACAACTTTCTGTGTTATAAATGCGCCTAAGGATTAAGTTTGTAATTGTGTTGCTCATTAGTTGTTACTGAATATCCCTACTATAATACAAATTTTCAGTGCCAGTCAATCCAAGCCAGCAGCAGCACCACGAAAATCAAGTGGCACAAGCAAGGGTACAGCTCAAACCGATAAGGAATTTGGAATAAATCAGCCGAAAACCCCAGAAATTAGAAGAAAAGGCATGGAGAAGAAGAAAAGTAACAGTAGTTTTGAACCTTCCGAGAACTTTGCTACTCGACGACCATCGCTGGGGTCTTGTAAGTGACGTTTTACACATTTTATGTTATGAACAACATATAAAAATGCCATTTTAAAATAGGAGGTACCTCAATAAAAGTATCATTTTCAGTAGAAAACATAACCGGCCCAAACTCAATGGCAGTTCACCTCTTTCCACGATTAAGCGAGACCAACCTGGGTTACCATGACATTCATTGGAATTACGATTGGCTCAGTAATATAAGCCTAAAGGATGTGGCTGGACTGGAACCGAGCAAGGCTATGGTAAGGAATGTCGTTACACAATAGGAAATGGCCAGAACTTTTTTTGAAAAGTTTAGAATTGCAAGAATTTGGTTTATAAAGCTTAAAGTTGCAAGAACTTTCTTTACAAGACATAAAATGGCAATAACTTTCTTTACGAAACTTTTTAAAAAGTTTAACTTTATTTTACTAAAAATACAATTTCCAGGACCTCCGGCTATTCAAAAGACATGTTCGCGTTTCAAACACTTTCAAATTCAGTAAACTCCAACTGACCGGTAAACCCCAAGTCGACTTGGAAAGCCGTGACATTGAGTCCTTCTTTCTTAAAATCTGTTTAATCGACCAACTTCACGACCAGAAATTGGTCTCAAATGATTTAAGACTGCTAATAGATCTTTACCATTCAAGGATAAGATCAATATCAACATGGTGCACGAATGCCGCTCAGTATTCCGCTTTGATTAGGTCGAATTACCGACAACCGGAAGTGGTCGTTCGGATCGAGCTGTTTCATCAAAACGTCAGTTGCGGTCATCATGACATTCCTTTATTGAATAGTCAAGGAAATTGCTGCTTGGAGGTGAGTTTTTTATTGTACTTTGTACTGTATACTCAAAAATAGAATTTTTAAACGAAAAAAGGGTAAATCTAATAATTTCTAAAATCGATACCGATATAAAGTTATACCTCCACTTTGATGAAGTGTAACTCTTGGAATAATATTTCAAACTTGACAAAATTTTTAAAATTAGTAAATCGGATCATTTAAAGTCTTTTGTCTGAATTTCGTGAGTTATTGTAAGGAATTCTATTTTTAACTTTTATATTGTATACCTCAACTTCGAACAAGCATAAATTTTGCCAAAATTAACCTAGTGCAATAAAATTTTATAGATAAATAGAAAATAGACTGGGCAACATCTGTACAAAATTTTTACCAGATTCATTTGTAACTTTAGAAGTTATGCACGATCAAAGTTGTAGAACGTCGCGACGCGTCGAGCTTATAGCGGATTTTGTGATATTTAATGTCTGGCATTTTCTTTAGACGCTACAACAATATATAAAAGACTAAAATTCGTTTTACTTTTATGTTATGAAAAAAATATCGTCATTTCTTACTTTGTAAATCAAATTTTATTATTATCAGGTCGAAATGTCAACAGATCGAGTCTGCGACGAAGTGTCAGAAAAATTATCGGAAAAACAGAAAGTTGTTTTTTGAAGGATAACTTTATGTTTCCGGCAAAAATCTCAGAGCTAGAATTGTTTTTGAGGTTTTTTTAATATTTTATATTATAGCTGTAACATTTATCTTTGTTTTTCTATTAAATTATTACTTACTTATATATTTTTAAGTTATCCATAATCAATGACTAACTTCTCTAACTTTCAGCCAAACAAAATCAAGTCATTGAGCTTCACTGACTACAAAATTCAGCTGGAAATCACAGAGAATAGCTCCAAATCATGTCCACAAGCCGATTATCTTCCAGACGTATTGATTTGTCCGGAGAGTTGGATCGAAATCATAATGTATTACCGAAAAATCTGCGCTGAGGTCTTGGCCAACAGAGAATTGTGCCCATTCCCAAGTAGTAAGTTGACTTTGCTTTGTGTTTTTTATTTTTAGGGGTGTGTTAGAGAATGAAGAATATTTTTTGGCAATATTGTGGTATGGATAAGCGTAAAAATGACAAAGAAAGCGATTTTTTGCAAAATTTTGAGGGCAAATCTGATGGTTTAGGTATTATCAAGGATTTTAGTTGTTTTCATTGTTGTTTTTTGGGTATGTGCTGAACGAAAAATCTTTGTAAAAGCTTTATTTGAATAATTTTATTCATAAAAGTTATTTTATTATGTAAGTTTTGTTGACATTGCCGAGTTTTCGATCAAAGACATGGATAATATCGGAAAATAATTTTTTAACGGCAAATCATTCTTTGCGCCCTTATCTTTTGGATTTAGATAATCATTGATATAATAAACAGTTTCAAATGTTTCAGCATACATTGTGGATCCAATAGTAGCGACATTTCCCTTCGCTTGCGAGCAACCACGTTTAATCAACTTGTTCATCAAGGAGCTGAAGTTACGTCAGGTGGGTAACTTCTTTTTGTTTTTTATGGGTAAAATACGAATTTTCAATTCTTTCGTTTTATGTTAGTTAAAGCTTGAAGAGTTTTGTTTAAAAATTTGTTTAAAATTAAAATACTGAGGATGTTATTTATGAGGATCAGACAACGTATAAGAAATAGTTTATTTTGCTCAAATATTGTGATTGTCAGTTGACATATATATTGAATAAGCTAGTTTGAAAGATTTACAATTGTTAGTTGTTGGAAATAATCAAATATTTATATAAAAAAGAAAGATAATATAAATGTATACTTAAAAACAAAAAAACCACAAAAAACCAAAAGAAAGAAAAAAAAACTGAAAACACTATTTCCAGACATACGATGTCACAGTATTCCGTGATGTATACATGAAGTATGTTTTCCCGTTTGTCCACACAGTCAACTTCACAAACGATCAGATGGTCCTCGACTGTCTGGACAGTTTACATCGAAATAACCACGATTCGACCGCATTTTTGTCTCAACAAGAATGTCGACCGTTTTCGTTGTTTGAACATAGTGTTCATCTTTCTGGTTCACATGTTGTTGACTAATGTTTTGGGTCATAAAGTTGATGTTTGGCTTGAAATTTCCAAAAAGTTGCTTTGAAGTAAATTAAAGATGTTAACGCGAAACCTTTGCTGCTGTTTTTAATCCTAAACTTGGCAATAGTTTTAATGCTTTTTTGATAATTCTAATTGCTTACTGATAAGTATAATCCTTTTGTCAGCAACATTGAGGGATTTTTTTCTCTTATGTTGATAATTTTCAATATTTATTTATAATTCTATACTGTGCTGATAAGGTTAAGCTTCAGCTGATAATTTTAAGATTTAACTGATCATTTCAATCCTTTGCTGATTAGTTAGTTTATGCTGATCATTATAACTTTCCGCCTCCGTCCACGCCTCTGGTGCTAATATTAAGCCTTCGTCGATAATTTTAAGCTTCTACTGATAATTTTAAGCCCTAAGTCTCGGGTGATAAGTTCAAGCTTCTGCTGATAGTTTAAAACCTTTGCTGATAATTATACGGCTATGTTGATAATTATACGCATCTGCTGATAACTTAAAATTCAGCTGATAATTTTAAGCCTTTGCTAATAGGTAAAAACATTTGCTGATAAATATAAGTCAAAGAAATAACAAAAAACTACAAATTTAAAATAGATAAAAAGATGTGTTCACTTCGTACATGATTATTACATCGAACGTGTTAAAGCGAACGAATTAAAAATGCAACTTATTTCAAACGAATGACAAATGACAGTTCAGAGAAATCACGGTAGCTTGCAATTACGTTTGTCGCTTCATTATTATGCTGTAATAATTGAATTGCAAACTGTAAGCAGCTTTTTTAAAAACGTGATCGATAATGGAACGTAAAGTGTAATATTAGACGAAAAACAAGATTTTAGGTATACGTTGATTGTTATGTACAATAATGAATAATATTGTGTATGATAGGTAACATTATAGTGAACTTTTTCTATATTGCCTTTGTTGTAAGAAGGCTTCAGCAAGGGCGATTTGTTCAGCTTAAAATTTATTGTCCTGGGGTGGCTTTGGGTGCCCTATAACATAGAAATTGACATAAAATTTAGTGGCTCATTACTTTTTGAACAACAGGAAATTGTTGATAATTTCGAAAACTCTTGCTACCGTAAACAGAAAATTCTAGTCTTTCGATGTTATTCAGGTATGGGATGGGTTCTACTCTTGCTATTCTATGGGACCTATTCATTCGAGGGGACTTTTTAGCCCGGAACGGTCATTCATAGTGAGAACTTACAGTATTACCTTTTACAACAAAGTTTAAAAACTATAGCATTGCAGTGTAAAACAAGAAAGTGATTGAACTTGATCTGATTGAACTTTCCTTTGTTTTTGAACATGATCTTTTGCTTTCTATTGGTCTTATGTTGCTCGAAAAGTTCATAGAAGGGCTCTTTGTACTGAATTTGGTCTTGTTAGATGAAAACTTTCGCTTATCTTGAAATGTCTTTGTCATTAAGATCTTTATATAAACTTGTTCTCTTACAGGAGTGCTGCATTTCTTTTGGACATAACTTTTTTTAAAGACTAGCTAAAAAACTAGGAAAATTTAAAAATTGTAGCTTGTTCTGTCTGTCGACGAAGTTATCAAAAGGAATTTAAAAATATACTGATTGGCAAAAGTTACAGTAGTTTTGCGGTACCACACTTTTAAGTCGACGTCAGAGAGTATTGTGTCCCCCCGTGTGGCAAAGAAAATGCTAGTGAGTGCGGCAAAAAATAGCTAACGTTGACGGCTAGCTATTTTTTGTTTCGCCGCACTCACTAGCTTTTCTCTGCCCCACAGAGGGACACAGAAAAAAAAGCGACCCGCAGCCTGTTTTTATAACCCCGTGGCACGTCTGTCTGAAATGGGAAATGACCAATAGTGGCTTTTCGTTCGTTGCGAATTGTTTTTAAATTTTATTTTAATTTTTGCGTTGAAATGTAACGAAAAGCCAGAAAATTCCATTTCCAATTTTTGTTTTATTTCAGACAGACGTGCGTGGCCTGGTTTTTTGAGAAGAGAAAAATTAAAAACTATGCTCTATTTAAATTTGAAAAGAAAAAAATCCCTTAAAAATTAAATGTTAATTTTAGAATAACAGGTAATAATTTGTAATGTTTAGTATTTAAAAATGAAAAGAAAATTCTTGAAAAAATTAGAAAATTGCTTTCTTAACAAAACACAGAAAACTTATCATGGAAAAATATAAAAACAAATAAATTTAAATTTATAACTATTAAATTTTTACCCAAAAAAAGTTAAAGAAATAAAATAAATACAATAATAAAAAAGAAATGAAAAAAATAAAAATATTAATAAAAAGTAATTAAAATTAAATAATATTAAATTTCTAAAAACAATAAATTCTGAAAAAAAAGATAAAAAGTTAAATAAAAACTATTCCAAATACTGTTTAATTCATTTGCACAAGAACTTTGAATAAATTTTTGAAAAACATAAAAACTAAAATGTGACTGTTGAGAATATCAAAGCCGAAAAATAGTTTGCAAACACCAGGCCGCGATGTCCCAAAAAACAGGTTGCGGACCTCTTGTTTTATGTGGTAAGTGAGGTGTAAAAATGGTTTTTAATTCTTCTACAGTAGGCGACAAGGCCTGGAATTTGGACGCCGTCTTCCATTGTCTGCACCCTCTTCGTTAAGACGAAGGAAGAGAGCGCCGATAAAGAAGGAGGCGGCCAAATCAGGCTGATCGTGGGCCGTGGCCACAGTTCGTTACAAAACAGCCTACTTAAAGCGCCGAAGCGGGCACTCGAGGTCGACCCAGCCGCCTAAAGAAGGGGCTGTTTTTAAGTGATAGTGGTGTATCCGTGGCAGAAAGCCGCGAAGGTCTTCGGGGAAGACAAGCTTACAGTTAAGTGCGCACTTATGTTGCCAGACGCGAATCAGGGCGTGATTATAGGGTCTGAGGACCCAAGTGTTTTATCGAAGTCAGTCTTAGGGTCAGGAGAGTTGAAGGGTGGTGGTTTTGGGGAAGGATTCGGGAAAAGGTTCTGGGAACTGGACTGGGCCTTCCAGGCCCAGTCGCTGGTCGAGGCCAGCCAAGATTTAGCCAAGGGGGGTAATGTTATAAGAAGCCTGGCTGGGCCAGCGTTGGGGCCAATCCAGGCTAAAAAATTAATAAACATGAATGCGCTTGGTTTTAGGCGTTAAAAAGTTGTTACAAAATAAAAACCAAAGTCGAAAAACTTCGAAGGACAACTGATAAAATTAATAAATATGAATGTGTTTGGTCGTTAAAAATATAGTTACAAATTAAATGTCAAAGGCGAAAAGCTTTCAAAAGTAAAAGGACTCGAAAGATGAGTGGTAAAAATTTACAAACAAGATTAGAATAACTCCTCGTTATTCAAATTCGGAAAGAAAAAACACCCGGCCGAGAAGTTCTAAAAAACAGGCGGCGGGTGTTTCGCTTAAAAAGTTTAAATAATAAACAAATATAAAAATAATTCCAAAAATGTAAAATAATATTTAAAAAGTCCCTTGAATGTAAACACAAAATTCAAATTCCATATAAAAAAACAAAAACATAAAAGTTAAAAAATTAGATTGTGATCTCAGAGATATGTCGGGACTGTTTTCAAAAGCCAGAACTACCGAAGCAAAGACATAAAAAGATGTCTGAAGACCATCAAAGAACCCCTTAAAAGACAGAGATTGTGGCCATCGCAATCAGTTGTATCCGTTCGAAGCCGGGGGCCATGTTTTATTATTAATTTTGCCGATTTAATATTTTATTTTTTGTTAAGTTTTACATTTTAGGATGGAGCTGAGTCTTGGAAACGAGTTGTTGACGGCCGGCAAGAAGCCCTATCTTAGGGTCCATGTCTTAGGCACTGTAATTTTTTTGCTCCAATGATTTTGAGGTTGAATATAGTGTTGCTAGAGGCATTTTAAGGATATTTTTATGCTACAAATAATATAGAGATCTTTGTCAATTGATTTATGGCTTCAAAAGTCTTTATTCATTTTCATCAACTCATTATTACATTTATATTTACAACGAACACACAAATTAAACGTAGTTCTCCCAAAAATGCGGTAGCTCTTGTAACACACCAAACTTGTACATCTTCACAACAGCTGCCGCCAACAACACAACACCTCCCGCATACCACACTGGACTTGTCCTATCCTTCTTAAGTTCTGCGCATTGTTTAAGCACGTCATTAGGAGTCTCTCTCTTCCTGATAGCCTTGATTCTTCTGGTCTCCACATCCAAAATAGCTTCACGAGCGTAGGGCCAAGGATGTGGACCGACCAGTCGATAAGCATATGGCACATCTGGCCCAAAGAACAATGCCTTCCACAAGGTGTAGTCGGTGAAGAAGAGTTTGGCCATTGGTGGTTTACAGCCAACCATGGTAGCCATCTCGTCCATGTACTCAACATAGTCTACTTGGATCGTGTGTCGAGGCACGTTGGTGTAGCGCTTGAATATACGCTCATTTGTGAGCTTAATGTTCTTGAGCATCTCCTCTTTCGACGGCAATTTGATGTGGCCAAGGGCTTGTTCATAAAACAGCCGGCAGTTCATTTCCCCAGGGGCTACGACAGAACCCAACGGTTGGAATAATCCTATAACTCCCAAGGTATTCTTATCGGCCGAGTTCATTGGGAACACTTTTTTGAACAGTTCGACACGGTTGTCGACCACTGGAATCAGTTTTCCACTGTCCAGGAAGGGGAAGTCGAATGTAAAGCCGGTACAACATACGACTTCGTCGACCTCGGTAAATGAACCATCTTCGAATATGACACCGTTCTCTGTGAAGCACTTAATGTCGCCTTTTAGGATTACCGTGCCACAGCCAATTTTGTCTGAAAATGAGGGGTTAGACGATTGAAAATATTTTTTTTTTCATTTTTAGAATTAACTTTGTTATTTCATATTGGGTTGCCTTAAAAAAACTTACTATGCAACTCATCAGAAATAGTAGGATGTTGAGCAATCAGCTTATGCTTTGGTCTCAAACCATATTCATCTTGGTTAAAGAAGTTGGTGAACTTTTCCTCGCACAACTTGTTAAAGTAGTCCAAACTGAGCCATTTGATCAAGGTATTCAATCTTGTATTCAAAAACATGTCCATAGGGTACCCCTTCTCAATATGTTTACCCACAACCCAAGCACCACGTCTGGTTGAAATTGTCACTTGTTTGGCGATACGAGACAGCTCACAGGCCACATCCACGGCCGAGTTGCCAATACCTACGACCAGAACGTTCTTGTCGTCGTATCCGGTGGGTTTCTTGTAGGAATGTGAGTGGATCATTCGGCCGTTCCATTTGTCTTGTCCTGGCCATGGTTTGGGCATGTTGGGCGTGGCATGGTGGCCAACACAGACCAGGACAAAGTCAAAGGTTTGCTTGTGTTCATGGTTATGATTGTCGGCGTAGGTCACGGTCCAACGACCGGCCGTAGAGTAGTCGGAAGCTCGTTCCACGTTGGTTACACGGTGATTGAATTTGATGTACTTTTTGATGTCAAAAGTGTCAGCGTAGCGGTCTAGGTATCTCCAGAGCTCTGAAATATGATTTAGGTTTAGTACTTTAGGTGATCTAAATTTATTTTCAAAAATTTAATTTTTGATGATCTTAATTTAGTTTTGTTTACAAGTTTTGCAATTTATCGTGCCCTTTGTGCCTATTGATTGCTCTTTTACGGATTAAAAACGATTATTTTTTTACTGATAAGAAATGGCAACTTTGCAAATTCATAAAAAATGACTTTTTTAATCAATTTCCATAAAACGGTCTTATTTTTGTGGATCAAAAATGACTTTTTGCTGATGTTTTAATGAAAAACTACAGTTGAACTTCTGTATAACGAACAACTTTAATGCATTTAAAACCCCTGTATAACAAAACTACTTTATAACGAACAAAGTTAAAGACCCCAGAGATAAGAATGAAAAATTTTCAAATACTAAGATTAATTTTCTGAACTCAATAAAATGTTGCTTTTCTAATTTTTTACAAAAAGCTACACTTGTTTCCGCAACAAAATGTTCCCTTATTTAGAAGGTGTAATGAAATACATTTTTTCTTCTTGAAAAGAAACAAATCGTCGATCACAACAAATTGTGTTATGTCAAATTTTTTATATGATCTCTGGCTTAAATTCTACTGTAAACGTTTTTGGGTCATAACCAAAAAAACAGGGTTGAGCGGACGGTGATGTTCTGTTCTGCTGTACGTAATGAAACATCTAAATTTAGACTATGGAAATGATCTGCACAAAAAAAATCGTTTTTTGGGATAATTTCGAAAATAAATTTTGTTTGTTTTTATTATCGTGCTAAAAAAATTGTCAGCCCGGCATTGGTTATACAATAGAACCCCTTAATTTAGGCTTGGCCCAAAAAGATTGATACAGTGGAACAACAGTGGAGGAATCGCTCGGGGGTTTTTAATTTGTTCGTTATGAAGAAGTCTCGGTATACAGGAGTTTTAAATGCCTTTTAATAGTGGGTTGTTATACAGAAATTTTGTTATAGAGGAGTTGTTTATGCAGGAGCTCCACTGTAGTTTTAAAAGTTTTTCCAGACATAACACTAACGTTTATGATCGACGAATTGTTTCTTGATAAGAAAAAAAGGTAACTTTTTTACAACAAAAGTCTAAAAAAGTAACTTTTTTTGACAACATATTGAAAAACTTATCAAAAATGAATTTCTTGATAAAAATTTTAAACATATTATTGAAATTAACTAACAAATTATAAGATTGTAAGAAGGTTTAAACGAATTTTTTAAAATCAAGGTCAAAACTTCCTTCAAATGCCAGTTTTCAAAATAACTTACTGGTATGATGCATAAAGTTGGCATCCTCGGCATCCGGCACAAAGTCCGAGTAGGCTGACATCTCTTTGGAGGTGTTAATGACGGTTTGCTTCATCACCGTGCTGAACTCGGTCTCTTCTTCCTTGTAATTCCACAGTCCGCCCAACTGGCTTTGGGCTTCAAATACTGTAGGTTCTAGGCCGTATTGTACTGCCCATCTGAAATGAATATCATGTCATTATGAGTACTTGCTACTATTAGGCATACTCGCAATACTCATAGTTTTTAGTACGAAAATGCTAATATAATTTTAAGTTTAATACTAATTTGAGGTTAGTACCACATAATATTTGCTAATACTAGAATAAATAGTACGTGGTACTAAAAGACGTGTATTTTTCAATATATTATACTATGTTACTCATGTAAATAAATAGTTTGCGCGATTAGGGTATTCATATTTTTAAGCATATAGTACTAGCAAGCCTGTATTTTGTAGTATGTGGTACTAGTAGGCTTATACTACTAGGTACGCGGTAGTCAAAGACGTATTTGTTAGAGTATGTGGTACTATTGAACCACCCATACTGTTAAGTATGTGGTACTAAAAGCTTTAGATCTTGGAGTAAAGTCTACTAGTGGACCTATATTATTGAGCATGTTGTACTATCTTAATCATAATTAAAAAAAGGACTTTAACATCTATAACTGTCTTTTTTCTAGTATTACAACTTTGCCAATGGTGTTGTATATAGTATTAAAATCTTATACTTTCAGTAATCTCATTTTAAAAGAACTTACTTTGCCGCCGGCAATCCACATACTCCAGCACCAATCACACAAACTTGTTTTTTCTCACTCATTGGCGCGAACTTTCTTTACAAAAGCAAAAAAAAATGAACGCCAAAATGTTCAATTTTATTTATTTAAGTAGTCGTTTACACCCGCCCATAACCCCCCCCGTGCTTATCACAAGCGTCTTTATCACTCGGTCCACAAATCACGTTCGCTACACTTTCTTTGTTCTCGCTTTTTCACACAGTGAACGGCATGATATGATGCACGGTTTGTGCTGTATGGAAAGTACAATATTTTTAGTTAACGTAGGTTGATGAGTAAGATGTTTGTGAGGTTGTTTTGAAGTGGCAGAAGATTATGTTTTGAATTCTTTGTAATCGTCTTGTGTAACGTTGACATTTTGTGCCATTTTGTAATAGAGGTAAAGGCAATTTGAGAGAGAATTTTGTCTTTTTCTGCTGTTTAGTACCTATATTTGACATTGTAGTCCTACTGTAGAGTTAAGAAAATTCGAGTACTATTATAGTGTTATTTTTTAATCAAGGTAAAAGCAACTTGAAAGAGAATTTGGTCTTTTTGTACTGTTTAGTACCTAGATTAGTTAAAAAAATATAGTAATATTATAGTACTTTAATACCGTGATAGTACTATAATACTAATGCGACATCAAGTATCGAGTACTAGTGTAGTAATAATACTACAAAGTTTATTATCGGGTACGAAAGTGGTATTGCTAATTTAGTATTAACATGTTAGTACTAATACCAAGTTAAGTAGCTAGTACGGTTAGAGTAAATTAAGAGTAGTACTAATACTAAGTTAAGTAGCTAGGTTATTAGCACTGTGAGAGTAGTACGAACATAAATTGGTTATCTACAGGGTGCGACAAAAGTCCCCGGACAAACTTTACCGGTCGGTTTTTTTATGTCGCACCCTGTAGTATTGTCGTAGTCGCGCTAATACTATGTTAATTATCTAACACTACTAGAATAGGTACTAATGCTGAATATGTTAAGTAGATAGTAATTTGGTAGCACTACTAATAGTAATTGTAAGAGAAGAAGTATCCAGTATTATTGTCAACATTACTACTATTTATATTGTAGGTTACGTATATGTACCGGCACTATAGTACTACTTCTAACTTAATTATTTGTTACTTTGATAGTAAGAAATAATATCTAATACCATCATGTATTTAGCCTTTTTATGGTACTGTTATTGCTATTCTTGTTATCAAGTATTGTTCTCGTACTATATTTCCTTTTATCATAGTGTTATTTACTATAATAAGAGAGTATTTAATAGTACTGTAATTTACGTTTTTAGTACTACTTGATACTATGTTTTAGTTAATACTAAAAAGTATTAAAACAGTATTTTTATGCCACAGAACTTTAGTACTACTATGATACAAGAACTCGTGAAGTATCATGAGATAATTTTGGGTACTAGTTTGTACTAAATGAAAAAAAAATTAAAAAAAGTACCATGGTACACTTTTTGAAGGTTGATTTTCTTGAGATTTGAATCTTGGTGGTATAAACTAAAATTTTGATTGCTTTGGTCTGAAAATCTGATTAGTTTTTGAAAAAACTGTGATTACACAACCTTATTCATCAATGATAACACAATGAAACTCAAGAATTTATAAATGTCACATGAAACCCCAACAAGACGAAATATTAATCACAAAGCACGATACATACGTTAAGAACGTTTTTTTATCAATTGTTAATAAACTGTTAAGTCAAGACGTGATTAAATCACAAAAGTTTCGGGTTATGGATTAGATGTTGCGGAAAAGTGCAACATTGACAACAAGAGGGGAATCACAAAGAGTGCAACACACTAATTAGTTTTAAATGGGGTTAGGTATTATAGGATGATATGAAAGAAGAAGAGATAAAAACATTTGGTAAAATATGCATTGAGAGGGTCTGAAATTGTAGTGAGAAGTTAAAAATTGAAGAAAAAGTAAAAACATGATAGTACAGTAGACTTTATTGATAAGATAATATGGTATGGTTAGAGCTTTGTTGGGCTGGATTATGAATAGCGAACACAATGCCAACTTGACGGGAAATTCGAAATGTAATTTTTTGATCTCGATTTTCTCGGATTGGCTGGAAAGCGCGATTTAGTACTTCGGTGATGATCTTATATTTACATGATCTTCTATGTAAAATGTTTGAAGTCAATCAGAGCGGGGCAGGTCGGGTACTTTCCTTGTGAGTTGGAATGTGGCCAGTGTTTGTGAGGGTAGACCTAAGTTTTAGCTAGGCTTGTGTTGGACACAACAAGGGATTTTTGGGCAAGTCTAGGATAAAGGCTAGCTGTTGATTAAACTTTCAAGTCGGGCCAGGCCTCAGTTTTCCTTTGGCTTCTAATTGGACAGGCTATGCCTAAATTTTAGGGAGGTTTTTGTGGTACAAGGTGGTTTTAGCTAGGCTTGTGTTGGATCGGACAAATTGTTTTGTTGGGCATGGCTACGATAAAGCTTAATGTTGGCTAGCTGGTGATATTACTTTCAAGCCGGGATGATTGCCATGCGTTTTTCTTGGCTACCTAAGACTTGGCTAGGGCAATTTGAGGCAAATTTTGGCATTTTTTAGTATTTCCTATGCCGTAGTTCTTATTATGTATTGTGATGTAATTATTGCTATGCTCTATGCCTATTACAGGACATGGTATTTCAATATTCATAAAGACATGGCGTTTATTACCTTTTTTCATTAAATAAAGTCAGAATTCGATAACTAACTCACGTATAGATTGAAAATCGATTTATTTTATCAATCTTACTATAATGTACAGTTTACAAGTCAAGTATATACAATTTTCTAAAGTTGAACATATCAACACAGGTGATAAAAGGGTTAAATTGCTAAACAATAAATAAAGAAAGTGCACAAAGCTGATAAGACCAAACATTTCATCGCATTAGAGACTTCATGACATGATATAAAGTATAATTAGATGAAGTTGATATGATGGCTGTGAAGGGGCATGGTAACATAGTAACATAGGCTTACTATGGTAGGTGATAACATAGTAACCCTGAGTAAACAAGAATCACTGTAAGTGGTATAGTAAAACAAGTTTACTGTTGTGGGTGATATACTACAGTGATTACACAGTATAAATGCTATAGTAGAGTAATCATTAAGGTACGATAACTATTACTACAGTTTGGAAGGAAAAGTACTATTAAATTTGGCTGACACTAGTTGTGGTACGAATTTAAGGGTCGCTATCGGTCTTGTACTAGCTTGAACTAGTTGTTACACAAGCCTTAACCTAAGTTGATCTCTTCACCAACTGTAGGCTTGATCTCTCTACTTCTTTAAGCATGATGTTTCCATAATTGTCCAACATTATCAAAAACACCAGCTTGATAAAGCTTGGCACCAGCTGCCAAAGCCACCACAGCACCAGCCGTAAGCCAGGCTGGACTAGTCGAGTCTTTCTTGACACTCTCGGCCTTCTTCAAAGGATTGTTAGGGGTTTCTCTCTTTCTGATCGCCTTGATCCGTCTCTCCTCAACGTCCAATATCACTTCTCTCGCTTTGGGCCAAGCATGTGGACCAACAAGCCTGTAAGCGTATGGCACATCTGGGCCGAAGAACAACGCCTTCCACAAGGTGTAGTCGGTGAAGAAGAGCTTGGTCAATGGAGGCTTACAGCCAATCAAATTGGCCAACTCATCCATATACTCAACGTAGTCCACTTGGATTGTGTGTCGAGGCACGTTGGTGTAGCGTTTGAACATTTTCTCATTGGCGTTCTTAATGTCCTTGATCATGTCCTTCTTCGGTGGCAGCTTGACATTGCCTAAGGCTTGCTCGTAGAACACTCGGCAGTTCATCTCGGCCGGTGCCACAATAGAGCCGATGGGCTGGAATAAACCGACAATGGCTATCGTATTCTTGTCGGCCGAGTTCAATGGGAACATTTTCTTGTACAACTCGACTTTGTTATCCACAACTGGTACCAGTTTTCCGCTGTCGAGGAAGGGGAAGTCGAAGGTAAAACCGGTACAACATACGACTTCATCGACTTCGGTAAAGGAACCGTCTTCGAAGATGACGCCGTTCTCTGTGAAGCGCTTAATGTCACCTTTTAGGATTACTGTGCCACAGCCGATTTTGTCTGGAAATGAGGGGTTAGGTATGAGTTTAAGTATCGGTGTTATTTAATTTAAAAATTTTTTTTATGTTAAGAGATTTAAGCCGACACCCCGTTTACAAGCTAACTTACTGTGCAACTCATCAGTGATAGTGGGATGCTGAGCCAACAGCTTGTGTTTAGGCCTTAACCCATACTCGTCTTGGTCGAAGAAGTTGGTGAACTTCTCTTCGCACAACTTGTTGTAGTAGTCGAAGCTCAGCCATTTGATCATACTGTTCATTCTCGTGTTCAAGAACATGTCCATAGGGTACCCTTTCTCAATGTGCTTACCCACAACCCAAGCACCACGTCTGGTTGAGATTGTCACTTGTTTAGCGATACGAGACAGCTCACAGGCTACATCCACGGCTGAGTTGCCAATACCTACGACCAGAACGTTCTTGTCGTCGTATCCGGTGGGTTTCTTGTAGGAATGTGAGTGGATCATCCGGCCGTTCCATTTGTCTTGTCCTGGCCATGGCTTGGGCATGTTGGGTGTGGCGTGATGGCCAACGCAGACCAGGACAAAGTCAAAGGTTTGTTGGTGGTCGATTCCGTTGCTGAAAAGGATGGGAGGGTTAGAATGGAGGGGATGGTAAGAACTTTTTTACAGATCATAAAATGGCAAGAACTTTCTTTACAAAACGTAAAAAGGCAAGGACTTTCTTTGCAGGTTTTAAAATAACAAGAATTTTCTTTACAGAACATAAAATGACAAGAACTTTCTTTACGGAATTTAAAATGGTAACAACTTTCTTTACAGAAAATAAAATGGCAAGAACTTTCTTTACAGATCATAAAATGGCAAAAACGCAAAAACTTTCTTTACAAGAGTGCCATTTTAAATTGAATTTTGTTTTAAAATTTTAAAATTAATACCGGTTTTTGAAAGTTTAGCTCTACTTGTCAGTATATAGCTCTGCTTGTCAATATAAAACCAGGCTTACTTGTCAGTATAAGAAACCAACCAACGTCCGGTGCGAGCGTAGTCGGAGGCTCGTTCCACGTTGGTTACACGGTGATTGAATCGAATATACTTTTTGAGGTCGAAAGTGTCAGCGTAGCGGTCGAGGTATTTCCACAGCTCTGAAAGAGGGTTTTAGGGTTTAGTTTTATATTATACTAGACCATAAAAGGTGATAAGGGTAAGAAAAAGTTTTGTCATTTTTTGTAAAAGGCAATATAAAGTGACGACAAAACTTTTTTGACGTCTATTAATAAAGCTGTTTGTCTTCAGCTCAAGTTGTAAGCTTATTTTTGAAAAAAGAGGTTGTATTGCTCATTAATGACATCATAACTACGTTTTCAAGACAACTCACTGGTATGATGCATAAAGTTGGCATCCTCTGCATCAGGCACAAAGTCCGAGTAGGCCGACATCTCTTTGGAGGTGTTGATGACGGTTTGTTTCATCACCGTGCTGAACTCGGTCTCTTCCTCTTTGTAGTTCCACAGCCCACCCAGCTGGCTTTGGGCTTCGAATACTGTAGGCTCTACGCCATATTGTACTGCCCATCTGGAATAAATATTAGGTCATTTAGAGTAGTTGGTACTATATAAGTCATATTTGCAAAAGTGAATTTAAAAAGCTTGGTCAAGGTTCAAAACGTCTACTACAATATCGAAAGAATCGTTTTACACTCGACTTAAACTCCAAAAAGATGTAAATGTAGAAACTTAATTAAAATATCTAAAATAGTATACAAAAGGCCTATTTTTTACTACCAAAGATATACCATAAAGATCACTTCAAACCTCTAAACCCAGACCTACAACAACATCAAGCAACTCACTTTGTAGCGGGCAATCCAGAAACACCAGCACCAATGATACAAATCCTCTTGTTGGTACTCATACCTCAACTCTCAAAGCAACGTTTTTCCGCAGAAACTTTATTTACACAAAGATTGGTTGACCACCTTCACCTTAATGGCACCCTTATATAGTGCCAGATATTGTGACAGTCACCTTGACTCCGCCCCCAAAAACGTGGTTATCACAATGTTGATAGTAAACTTTAGCTTGTACACCGAAAAAAGCGAAACGATTGATGATAAGTCACCGGCAATACAATCATGATATTATTGTAAACACTCAACTCGTACGTTCGCAATGCGTACGGTACAAAGAATACTCAAAATGTTTGTGAGAGTGGCTTCGAACGAATTGCATGGGTGTTCATGTTGCTTTCAGATTGATTGTTGCCTTTGGTTGATAAAGAGAGGCTTCTGGTTAATAATGGGAATTTGATAGTTATTTTAGGGTGTTTTTGATGTTGTAATAGAGGTAATTGGTCAAAAAGTTTGAAGACCAATATTTCTTGGGTATTTTAAGAAAGCGTATCTAGTGTTTCCCAGTGTCGTATGCTCAATTTTTATCTGGGTAGAGATCAAAAATTTTGGTTTGAAAAAAAATTTTTTTTTGCCTATTCAACAGGTAGCCCGGTCGAACAAAATTCATGGCCTGGCTTCTTTCACAGTTGATTGGTCTTTCCTTCAGGTTTAACAGTGGGGATCACGTTCATTTTTAAAGAACAAAGTTTTGGGCAATGTGTTTATTTTTGCAGCTAGGAGGACTTCCTCACTTATATCAACCTCTCTAATTAGCTTCTACTCTTACTGATCTGATTTTTTATTTCACTGGATTCTTTTCTAGTCTATAGTGACTTTTGTATAGCGTATCGCATGGAGATTTTAAAATTACTTGTTATAAAGGAGTTTTCATATTCAGGTGTTGTAAACTCACTGTATAGTGTTGGCCGGGGATTTAACAGTTTTTCATTATGCAGGGGTTAAATCGTACAATGGAACTTCTGTATAACGAACTCCTCCGTTACAAAAATATTGTATAACAAACAACTTTTGAATCCCCGTCTAGCTCCGAAGCCAAAACCGTGCTGGCTCCGGGGTTTAGGTACTAAAATTAAATATTTTTTGTTTAATTTTAGTTTGAATAGCTCTGGCCACGTTTTTTTGATAAACTCCTGCTTTAGCTCCAAATTCGGAGCTGCTCCGGGGCCTTGTGGAACTCTGGCCATGACTTCTATTCTTACATTTTACTCTATTTTTTAAAACAAAGGATGTTTTGATAGATTGATGTATTAAAGAACCCTTTGCTGTATGCTTTGTGTTCTGCCAACGCAATGAAGCCCTGCATATTCTCTCATGAACTTGTTATCTAATCAGTAGGTAAACTTAATAGGATAATGGTTTTAAGTGTCACTTCAACGTAACTTATGAGCAAATATACGATATATGGTGGTAAAATACGTCCATACTTCTAAGTGGTGTGTGGTGAAAAAAAAGTTACAGTATGCCGTGAATAAATTTTACCTTAAATAAGTTTCAGTACACGCCGGTCAAAGTTCAGTTAAAAAACGTTGCAGTATACTTCAAAATATTGAAGTTATCGTATACCTTGAAGCTACAGTATAGATCGATTGAGTGAAGGTTTAAAAGTTACAGTATAATTTGAAATCTCATTATATGGTGAAGTTGCAATACATTTTGCTTGAAGGTTTGGTTTAAAGGTTACTGTATATTTTAGTATTTTTTGAAAAAAATTTTGTTGTAAAAAAATTACAATGCACTCTGACCATGCTTTTAGCTAAAAAGCTACTGTATACTTTACATTTACAGTATAACTTGAAGTTACAGTATACTTTGAATTGCAGTACATTCTGCTTGAGTCTTTAGTTTAAAGGTTACTGTATATTTTTAAGTTACAGTTTACTTCGAATACATTTTTGCTGTAAAATGCTACAGTACATTTTGGTCAAGCTTTTAATTAAAAACTTACTGTATACCTTGCAGTTACGGTATACATTGAGTTTACAGCATACCTTGAATTTACCGTATACTTTAACCTCCCTCAAACGAAAAATTTTTTTTCTACCCCCTACTTTTTTATGACTTATCTTCTCTCTCCCTCCCCCCCCTCCACCAAACGAACAGCGCAACAATTTAATGTTGTGCTAAGAGAAGGTGTGGTAAACACGTTCTTTGTGATTGCAATCTGAGCGTTTTCTGCTGTAACCACGAGGTTTCAAAGTGTTTAAAAACAACTCCCTTTGCGATAACAATGTTAAGGTACGTATTTTTGAAGAGTGAAAGAGTAATTTATCTCTTTTCTCTCTCCATCACATTTTACAATGCAAAAAGGTATGATAACAATCAGGAATTACACTCAGTTCAGTTTGAATAACTGCAAATCTATTTATTTACAAAAAAGCGAAAATTAGGTATGAAAAACGATAAAATGTAGAGAGAGTAATAGAAATTGAATTTATCATAGTCTTGGTTATTGTATAATATAATAGAATTGAGGTTTCGATTATATGGTAATGGAAAAGTAAATGAATAAGTAAAATATCATTAAATTAGAACTCTTGTACATATACAGTGGCGGCAAGAAAAAATGGGACACGACGGTTTCAAGTATAACTTTCTTGAAACTAAAAGAGTTAGGCTTAAAATTTTCGTGATTTTACTATATTCTTTTTGGCAACGAAATTGCAAAAAAAAAATGTTTTTTCTTGTTGATTCAAAAAAGTTACAGTAATTCTACCGTACCCTGTACTTCTAAAGTATTTGCATAATTGTTTTCAAAAAAATTGAAGATGTACGTTTTATAGAGCATAAAAAGTTGTACAAGTTCAGATAGTTTTATCTTTCAATTGTTTTTTGTTAATGAGGTAAGGGCATTTAAAAATGTTCAAAAACCAAAAAAGTTCGATTCTGCTTGAAAAATCGGAGGTTTTTTTAAATTTTAAAAATCTGTAACGTACAACTCCGATTTTTTAAAGAAATTTTTTTCAAATACTTTGGAAGTACAGGGTACGGTAGAATTACTGTAACTTTTTTGAATCAACAAGAAAAAAATTTTTTTTTGCAATTTCGTTGCCAAGAAGAACATTGTAAAATCACAAAAAATTTTAAGCCTTACTTTTTTAGTCTCAAGAAAGTTATACTTAAAAACCGTCGTGTCCCATTTTTTTCTTGCCGCCACTGTAACCAACTCACCTGCAGTGCTCTCTCTACATATATTGTGAACCATCTGTATAAGCAACTCTTCTTATGGTAAACAGGAAATTTGGCCCCGCCAAGTCAATTTGCACTAAAAATCACTCTGTAAACTCAACATCCCCTATAATATACATAAAATGTCGGTGCCTTTTAGTTGCTTGTAGAGAGAGAGTATTGTATAATAAAAAAACAGTATAACGAACAACTTTTAAATCTTTGGACAACGCGCATAGTGCAGCTCAAAAAACAAAGATGGAAACAACTTTCTTTACAAAGCAAGAAATGGCAAGAATTTTCTTTTTGTCTGTTTCGCCTTTGTATTAACGTCTATTGCAATATTTCAAAGCTACTGGATAACTGGTCGAAAATTCTAAAAAAAGCGTCATTATGATAACATCGACTTTGAAGCAAAAAAGTAACCAAAAAATTTTTAGTTGCTATACAGATTCTTTTTGAAGATGAAAAGCTGTATTTTTTATGAGGATGACTATAAAATACATTAGTCATAATGACAGCTTTTCTGGAATTTGGATTTGAAATATTTCTTTCGTTTGCGCAAAAGAAATGTGGGTAATTTGTAGCCATGAGCAACGGGCCGAGATTGAAAATTGGGTCCGGGCCCGAAAAAAAAATTTTTAAAATATTTTTAAATTTTTTATTTCAATTCTCGTTGATGTTTTTCGATTTTATTGGGTACTATGATCCATAAATGATCTAAAAAAATTTAAAGCCAAATTTCCGTTTATTTTTTGTTTTGAAATTTTTAAAAACAGGCCGGGCCGGGCCTAAAAATTTTCTGATCGGGCCGGGCCTGACCAAAATCAAAAACGGGCAGGGCTCGAAAATTGGGCCCGGCCCGTTGCTCATGTTTAGTAATTTGTGGTCAATCCAATATTTGATAGTCTTTAGGGAATAAAAATTGACTTTTATTATAGTAATAGAGTTAAAAAGTTCTAATTATGTATTTATTTGATATTTGATTTTATTTATTTACTAAATTTTTGTTTTTTATTTTTTGTTGTCATGGATAACATCGCGTTTCTTACGTATTTATTGGCGATTTTTTGCAGCTTTTCTTTTTCTATTATAGTAAGAAGATTATGCATGATGTTTCAGATAATGTTTTGCAACAATCAGAAATTTCCATTTAGTTCAAAAGATCAAAATCTTGTGAATGGTTCAAAACTTTGGACTCTTGATAATGGAATTGAACTTTCTGATGCAGCTTTGGCATGAATATGGATAGGTATGCTTTTTTATAGTTATTTTGTGCTTTTAGGTTTTATTGTAAAGATAAACGCGTATTTCTGAGCGGGGCTTGTGAAGAAATGCAAGATTATATTATCTATGGTAGGTTAAGACGGGGTAATTGATTCTGAAGGTTTTTATTTTGATAAATTGGATGTAAGTTACTTTTTATGGCTTTAATATACAGAAAGTAAGCTTGCTGAGCTTTTTGAATTCCAAGGGTTTTTGATTTTATAAAAATAGGGTTTATATTATCCATCGTAGATCAATATGAGAGTCTTAACCTTAAAGTTGGTATTGCCTAAAATTAGATAGAAATTAATGCCAAATTTTTGGGAGTAATTTGAAGAAGTTTTACTGAACATTTTTAACTATTACTTCTTTTGGGTTTATTAAAATATGAGTGTTATATTATCCATGATCTATCAAATTGAGAGAGCGAATTTTGAAGGCGTATATTAGACAATTTGGAGTGCAAATTGTTCTTAATATGTTGTCCATAGCTTATTGAAGGTTATCTCAACATTTTTTGTTATATTCACTTTTCTTTGTTTTGGCATTTTGAAATTTTGTTTCAAATTTTTTGATTTTCTTTTCAAAAAAACGATTTTTTCTCAAATTTTTGATTTTTTTGCCATTTTCAAATTAACTTTTTGACAATTCCTACATTTTCAGACAATGCCCTCGCATGCCTGGTCATTTCTGTCAATTTTTACTCTACCAGATGGTCGATTCCGTCGAAAGAACCAACATGGATCCGACCTTGATGGAGCAGCCGTATTTTCATGGATTGTTACCCAGAGAAGACCTGCCATTAATGCTACGAAATCGCGGCGATTTCCTTGTCCGATGCACCGAGCCCTCGAAAGGACAGCCGAGGGCATACGTACTATCCATGAAGGCACCTGCAACCAAAAGGGAGCTGAAAGAAACTGTAGGTTTATATTACTGTACTCTGCTTGGTTTTTAGGTATTTTGAGTTGATGTTTTGGTGCTGTGGGTCATTTGTGGGTACTGTAGTTTATTATTTGATACTGAAGGTTAATATTGATTATTGTCGGACACGGCTGGATACTGTAAGCTAATAGTGGGTACTGTAGGTTTTTACTAGTTAATTTAGTTTAGTATAAAGTACTGTAGATGAATATATGATACTTAAGATTAGCAATAGGTACTGTAACACAATATCTAATACTGAAGGTTAGTATAGAGTACTGTAGGATCATTATGTCATAATGAACTTTATTTTCAGGTGAGACACTTTATTATTCGAGTAGAAAAAGGAAAGTTTTATATCCATCAAAAGCTATTCGACAGTATTACCAAGATGATTGCACATTATGTCACCACGGGCGAAGCTCTCAATGTTGTAAGGCATTTTTTGAAAATTTGAAAAATTTTTGGATTTTTATTTTAAAAATGGCAAGAACTTTCTTTACAGGTCTTAAAAAGGGATTAACTTTCTTTACAATCTTGAAAATGACAATAACTTTCTTTACAAAAGACAAAATAGCAAGAACTTTCTTTACAAGTCTTAAAATGGCAATAACTTTCTTTAAAGCCATTTTTTTCAATAAAAGTTTTAAAATTTAGTTTTAGACCGCCCCAGAAACCGTGATTGCTAGGCCCGTCGCCCGCCAAGACTGGGAATTGTTGCACAGTGAAATTACAGTAGACAAGCACATAGGTGAAGGCGCATTCGGGGCGGTATGTCTTGGCAAATGGACCTCTCGATTAACTAACGTAACACTGGACTGTGCCATAAAACAAGCCAAAATGGATGCATTGAATAAGGAACAGATTAAAGAGGTCATGACTGAGGCCAGGGTGATGCGGCCGCTTGATCATCCGAATGTGGTAAGGATTTTGGCTTTAGAGTGGGATAGGGGTGGTAAAATATGGGGGAGGATCAATATTTTTAAATTTTTATTTTCAGGTCAAGCTATACGGTGTAGCCGCCCTCCAAGAGCCCCTAATGATCGTAATGGAGTTTTGTAAACAAGGCGCCCTGAACAGCTACCTCAAGAAGAACCCGTTGACCGTAGAGAAGCAGGTAGAGATGTGTTTCGGTTCAGCATGTGGAATCCATTACCTACACGAATCAGGCCTTCTACATCGAGATATCGCGGCCAGAAACTGCCTTTTCAGTGAAAACAATGTCAAGATTGCGGACTTTGGACTAACAAAAGATGGCCCCGTCTTTGATATGGACCCGGCCAAACCAGTACCGGTCAAATGGATGTCTCCGGAGGCGGTTCAGACCACAAAGTATACCTACAAGGCGGATGTGTGGGCTTATGGTGGGTGAAGGTTTGGTTTGTGCTTATGATGAGTAGAGTAGATTGGACTTATAGTGTGTGAAGGTTTGGTTTGGGCTTATGGTGGATGAAGATTTAGGTTTTACTAATGGTAGAGTTAAACTTTGGGAGTATGGTAGGTATAAAAGGGCAGGTCAGGTTCAATTTTTCGTCCCGTCCTCTTTCAAATTTGCTTTATTCTTGGGACAGGGCTGGTCTTGGGCTTTCTTTTAGGCCTAATGGTGGGTGAAAGCTTTGTATGAAGGGAGACACGGAAAAGAGATTGAATTTTTACCAATACGAAAGGATCGTATGGTACTGGCAGGGTTAAAAAATACTTTTTATGCTTGACTGTTTTGTAGTATAAAAAGTTTTGGCAAGAATTCAAATTGTAAATTTGTCCCCTTGGCCAGAGGGACGAATTTACAATTTTGAAAAATTGATTTTAAACGCTTTGTAGAGCATGTAAAATGTTTTTCATTCTGAAATTTCCGTATTCATAACTCTATTTTGAACCAGGTTATGGCTAGTTGGAAATGCCGAAAATCAAAAAAAGTTCGAATCTTCTTGGATGATTTGATCTTTTTTGACAGACTTTTGTATTTTAGCCAAAATGTTGAAACTGTATATTTACTACAAGGTAACCGGGCTTTGAAATTGTGAATATAAACAGTATTTTTAATTTTAGTCATATTTGAAATAAAACGCTTAAAAATTTGAGATTTTTGACTATTTTTATAAAAAAAGGTTAAAAGTGAAAGTTTTTGAGTTTTGAGATATTTAGAGCGAGTAAAAGCTTATTAACAATATTTTGATTTCAGGAGTGATGTGTTTTGAAATTTTTGCGAAAGGAAATGAACCATATATGGAGCTACAGAAGGGCGAGATTGTGAAGAAAGTGAGAGAAGGTTATCGACTCCAATTCCCATCTGTAACTCCACTCGAACTCAAGGTGAGGTGATGAAAAAAATTGGTCAAAAGATCGAAAAGTGGCGGTCGAAAAGTTTATAGAAACATAAGAAAAATAATGGTCAAAAGGTTTGTAAAAAGGTGCTAGTACTGTCATTTTTCTACTCTCTCATATCTCTCTTAATACTGATATTTCAGTACTACTTTCTGCACCGCGTCTTTGCCTCAGAGCAGACCCGACCAACAATGGGTGAGATTGTCAGCTATTTCGAGACCTCTTTCGGCTACACAGCTCCACCACTCAACGTACCCCAGAAGAATCGAACCTACACCTTTTTGCGGCCCTTTGAATCCTTCAAAACGATACAGACCAAAGTTGTAAAGAAGCCAATGACGCCAAGGAAAGCCAGCACCAAATCCAAGAATTCAACAAAGATGCGCATTTAAAGTCACTGCTTATTATAAAGCATATTGTACAGTCATAAAGTCGAAGTTACTTTGTTAAACTTGGAGTTAATTTGTTTATGAGCTATTTGTGATGCTTTAGTATTTGTATTTCGATATTTTATTACCTAACTTTTTGATAATGGAATATTGTGAGGGATATGAAAGGAACATGAGTGCTTTAGCAATTTTACATGTTATATTGCTTTGTATAGCTTTTTTATATGCATATTGTTGTGAAGAATGTTTACTTTTTGAGGCGCTAGGACAAATGCGGATTTTGGACATTTGCGGATTTTTTAAAGGGGATTTTTTTCTTTTTTAGTTAATTTATTTGTAGTATGGTACTAAATGATACTAAAGTTTAAATTGGTACTGTTTTAATATGTTTTAGTGCTAAATAGTACTAAATTTTAAATTAGTACTGTTTTATATTTTTTGGTACTTTTGTCAGAGCTGTGTTTAAGGTAGGGGAAGTGGCAGGAACTGTGTTTCCAGATAGAAATAGAGCGGGATTTACTTATAGAAGAGGTAGTGGCAAGAACTTTTTTTACAAAATGAAAAATGGCAAAAACTTTCTTTACAGAATATAAAATGGCAATAACTTTCTTTACAAAACTCAAAGTAACAAAAAGTTTCTTTACAAAACCCAAAATGACAAAAACTTTTTTTACAAAATGAAAAATAGCAAAAACTTTGTTTACAAAACGAAAAATGGCAAAAACTTTATTTACAGATTATAAAATGGCAAGAACTTTCTTTACAAAACTCAAAGTAACAAAAACTTTCTTTACAAAACCCAAAATGACAAAAACTTTTTTTTTACAAAATGAAAAATAGCAAAAACTTTATTTACAGATTATAAAATGGCAAAAACTTTCTTTACAGATTATAAAATGGCAAGAACTTTCTTTACAAAACTCAAAGTAACAAAAACTTTCTTTACAATCTTCAAAATTTTAATTTTTTTAAATTTCAGGACTACGAATACCTAGAATCAGACCTGTCGACACACTACAACCCGAACAATGTCTACTGGTACGTGATGGATTTGAAAGCGGATTCAGTGTTCAAGTCGAGGTTAAGAGTTCTGTCATCTTGTTTCCCAAATGTCATCGTACCAGACACCGAGTTCAATATGACATCGAGAGGTGTCAATCTAAACTATGCTCAATATCATTGTATGGAGATGATGATGGACCGCCAGTGGAGATACGTCGTGTTATTGGAGGTAAGTTGGAAAGAATTTTGTTTACAGAATAAAAAAATGGCAAGGACTTTCTTTACAGAAAGAAAATTGGCAAGAACTTTCTTTACAAAACCAAAAATTACAAGAACTTTGTTTACAAGGCAAAAAATTTTGTTGACAACAGATAAACTGGCAATAACTTTCTTTACAGAACAAAAAATCGCAGTAACTTTCTTTACAAAACATAAAATGACAGTAACTTTCTTTACAAAGCGAAAAATGGCGGCCAATTTTCTTCTATGTGTAACTTGTCAGCTGCAGTCTGCCAAACATAAAAATGACACAAATTAGCTTAGCAAAAGCTTTCTTTACAAAACATAAAATGGCAAGGAATTTTTTTACAGAACATAAACTGTCAAAAACTTTCTTTACAGAACATAAAATGGCGATAACTTTCTTTACAAAACAAAAATCTGACTAAAAATGAACTTCAGAACCACGACGTGCTAACAAAGACAAATGGTGAACTAGTTCAAATCTTTCGCGCATACAATGGCGCTAATGATGTTGGAGCTCTAAACTTGAACACTTTGGGCGCAGATCGGCGAAAGTTTGCTGAGATAAATGATTTTTCATTCAAAGCGCTGGGTCTGTTCCAAAATGACACTTTGAACACGGCCGAACAAACATTGGCAATCGCCAAGAGTATAACAGCTTCTGCTTTGACATTCGAAGCGGTTCGGCATATCTTCAATGTAAGTTATTTAAAAATGATACGGGCTGTGGGGGGGGGGCTATGTTTTTATGGGGAAGATTAGTATTTTTTTAGTTTGTTAAGGCGGTGGTTGATTAAGCTAAATCTACCATTACCTACCTCTACCTTTACCACTTCACTTACCTTTACCACTACTCCTACTTTTACTTCTACCCTTACTCCTACTATACTCCCATCCTTCTCTTTAATCCTATCTCTACCTTTAAACCTACTCCTAATACTATAATATTATTCTTGTATTCTTAACCTTACCTCTACTTACTAGTAGACATGAGGAACGGGTCGGCCTTGACCCAAACTTAGGTCGGGTTGGGCTTGAAAATCAAGGTGTGGCTCGCTAAGCTTGCACTCAAGGTCTGGCTCGACGTAAAAAACTTGGGCCAGGCTAAACACTCAGGGCCGGTCTGTTCCTCATATTTACTTACCCTTACTCCAATCCTTATACCCCTGCTTTTACCCGATCTCTTATATGTACCTTATTTACCAAATGGAAGTCAGTTCATATTTTATTACCTAATTTAATAGAAAACTTAATTTTCGCTTTTTCAGACTCTGAACACAACAAAACTGATGAGTATAATGAACAGCGACAACTACGAACACGAATCCTTTACCAGCTCGTTGAATGCCAATGAAATCCTGAATGTGCCGGGAGGATTCACGACAGAATGTTTGGACAAAAAGAATATCGATCAGATGGTGAGGTAGGTATTTATAACTTTTTTCAAGGGAGGAGGTTTAGAAATTTAAAAAATTTTTTGAAATTTTGAAGTAAAAAAAACATTTTTTGGCCAAAATTTGGTTAATGCGTTTTGTGAGGCATGAGAAGTTACACTTATATTCAAATTTTTGCGGACATATATTATGTTTTGGCAGAGTTATGGGCATTTGAAAATTTTTAAAAAATTTTTGAAAAGTTTGACAACATTTAGTTTATACGTTTTGAGAGCTATGGAAAGTTGTGTCAGTTTTCAAAATTTCATTTTCATATATTGTGTTTTGGCAGAGTTATAAGCATTTAAAAATGTCGAAAATCAAAAAAGTTCGAAAATTCTTGGAAGCCACTTACTAAAAATGGATTTAAAGTGACAATTCAATTATGAGTAGTAGACCTATATAGAAATAATGAGCTTAGAAATGTCATTTTCATTGATATAAAATTTATTTTTATGAATTTTTCAAAAAAAAGTTACAGTAAACCAAAATTTTTTTTTAAATTTTAATTTTGAAAAACATTAAAATGAACCCTAAAATACACATTATGACCGAAACAAATGTCAGATTCACAAAATGGGGTGGCCACGGCTGTCATTCCAAGCGTGTTCGGCACGGTGTTTGCATTTTCGGAATGTCCGACCTGCGACCTCGCCTCATGCCTCTGCGCCAGTTTACGGTGAACAAAATGATGCCATCGATTGACTTTGGTGCTATAAATTGCTGGCATGAACACTTATTCAACCGTACTCATGTTCAACGAAATACGACGGTTGATACCGTCTTCTATAGTAACATACCTTATGTTCGGTGGCATAACCAGAAAATGAGTAATACCCTGAATAGAACTACGTTTGCATGTTGATATTGATATATTTGATATTGATTTGTAGATGTTAATTTAATATTGTCGTTTGTATATAAAAATGAAGTGAATTGAGGTGATATACTATAGTAAAATGTCTTGCCAGGGTATATTAACGTAGCCAAACTGTGTAAAATGTTAAAAATAAAACAGATTTGGCCAAAAGAAGACGAAACTTTGTTTGAACTGGAAATTAAATACAATGAACGAACTAATTTTAATTATTTTTACACTTATTTTTAATCGATTGCCCTGTGAAAACGTGTTTTAGCAGTTTGCACAGTGCAACTCCTGTTTTTAACCTATTGCACTGTGCAACCCCTATTTTTAAAAGTTTGCACCATGCAAGGGCGCTCCGAAATTACGCAATCTTTTTTTGTCGTTCAAATCCCTCGAATTTCGTTTGTCGCCAAATGATTTCTTTGTTTCTCTGCGCAATCTCTTCACTTTTTTTGATCTCTTGCCAAAACCGGAGTGCACAGTGCAAGCCAAATTGTAAGGGTTGCACCGTGCAAATCAAGTCGCATCGGATCGCACTGTGCAAGACCAATTCTTTTTATCTTTAACGCTGTTTCGACTGCACTGTGCAGAGGCATTTGTTTTGATGTTTCCCGCTATTTTGGCTGCACGGTGCAGTCAGGAAAAAGTTGGTTTTGCACGGTGCAGGCAGAAAAAAAGTTGGTTTTGCACTGTGCAGTCAGAAAAGGAGTTAGTTTTGCACGGTGCAGGCAGAAAAAAAGTTGGTTTTGCACGTTGCATTCAGAAAAGAAGTTGGTTTTGCACGGTGCAGGCAGAAAAAAAATTGGTTTTGCACGGTGCAGTCAGAAAAGAAGTTGATTTTGCACGGTGCAGGCAGAAAAAAGTTGGTTTTGCACGGTGCAGTCAGAAAAAAGCTTTATTCATATAACCAAATTTTAATCTTGGAAATGTTCCAAGGTATAAAATTCGCGCGCAACCCGCAGGGTTTCGGGCGCAAACGTTCGCGCTCGAAACTTCTTTTTGCTTCGATGATTAGTTTTGGTTATTTTTCCTCTGGGGTTCATTGAACTCTTTGATTGAAATTGAATAATGTGTAGCTTTTGGTTTATATGGGTAATTTTTTGTAGAGAATACCGTTTTTTGCAGTTTTATCTTGTTTTTGAGTTGTTTTTGATGTTCTGTTGCGCGAGATTGAAGGTTTTAAGAGGTTGGTGATGGTTATTATGAGTTTGTAATATATTTTCAACTTTTCAGAACGAATATAGTGCTTGAGAAGCGGACGAGCGTGAAGTTATGGTCATAAGAACATCTTCATATAGCTGGTTTGATGACCGCTGGACGAAAATTCACAGAACGAGTCAGATGTTGCTATGATTCTTGTGTAATATGAAGGAACCGATGGAAGGCAAGTTGTTTCACATGTAAGTTATTTGATTTTGTTTATTTTTTCTGTTTTTAGGCGAACTTTGAAGAATTTTCAAAATTTATGACTTTATTGGGATGCTGGGCGAAAATGGACAGAACTGATGAGATTTTAACGTGAATGCGGTTTGATACGATTGCTTAGAAGAAGGAAAAGTGGTTTTACATGTAAGTATTATTCTTGCTTGTTTTTTTTCTGATTATAGGTGAGCTTGGACGGTTTTCCTCTGATATTGTGGTCAATGTGATGTGTAATATGCTTTTGATGATTTTACGTTTTTCAGAGGTTGCGTATGGATGATCTTTTGGTGTGATCTGTATATCCTTACGGACAATGTTTTGAACGATAAATCAAGACCTGGCGAGCACGTAGAAGTTCAGAGTCGACCTTCGGAACCTTGTAGTTGGTGATAAAAGTGGATGGACGGATATAATGGTCGCCAGTTAGATTATATGGCTGATGTAGGTTTATTTTTTACTTTCTATTGTTCTTACTAAGGTTTTGAAGCTAAGAAATTGTCTATTTAATCCAAAGGTTGTAAATTAATAGGGTTTGACAGATATTATCTATGAATGCTTGATGTCTAGGATAATATGAAAATTTTGATGTTTAAAGTTTGTTTTGGAAGATGAGATGATTTGCGGGCAAAGGTTTTGGCATCTTTTTAACCATAATTTAGAATGTTGTGGTTTTTATGAGTAACATATAATATTAACTTCCACATGAGGCGTTTATAGGAAATACTTTGAGGACATAGGGACGTCTGTTGATGGTGCCTTCGGCTATGAAAGAGCTTTAAGATAGATCATTTACATTTTTTTATTTGTGATTAAAAATTTGGGTTTTTTCCTTTAGAAATAAAATTGATATTGTCAAAGGCATCTGATGGGTCATAGATAATATGCTGAGGGGTCGGACGTGTTTGATTTTAAAACGTATGGTTTGGATAAACATTCATATGCATTATTACAAGATGTTTTATGATGTAGTTTGTAAATTCTCTTGATATTACCTTGGGAAACAGTAGGTATTGAGAATGAACTCAGATTTGTCATGGATCATATAAGTTTGGTTTGAATACGACTACTTTTGATCAGTTTTTGTAAATTTTTATTTTTTAGTAATGTATACGAACGTTTTAGAAGTTGCCATTGATCTGGTGAAACGTTCAAGGAGGCTCAAACACGGATCAATTTCAATTTGGACCTCCAAGACCTTGACAAAACCATAGACCAGATCAGACAACGGACCAAAAGGGCATCTGAAGTCAGAAGGATCAGTCCGTAATCTTTAAGGACATGATGAAAGAAAGATAATGTGTCATAATCTTCGTATATTTATAGTATTTTGCGCGTTATTACCTATTTGTCGCGTTGTGGGGATGAGTATAGGTATTTAAAACGTCCAGAATCAGATCGCGACGTATTTTACTTGTTCTTTTCGACTTTTTTTGTAATTTTTTGATTGTATTGTGCGTGTTGTGTCATTATTTACCGCGTTTTTGGGTGGGTCTCTGTACCGTGCTCCCTTCTGATGGCTGCGGTTCCTAGCTAGGTTAGAAGGAGGTCCAAGAGTTGGGCTGACAGGGTCTGATGGCAAGTTATAGATGGTCATTACTTGCAATTTTAAAAGTTTTGATAAAGTTTCATTTTAAAAGGGCAAAAATTTGTTTTGAGATTTTAAAATGCTGTTTTTTCGACAAAAAAAAGATAGAAATGCATTTCGGTATTGAAGCGGGTTCGAAATGATTTTTTATTAAAATTTTGATAATTTGTTTAAAATTCGTTTTTGGTTCTAAAATATTGTTTTGAATTAAAATTAAGATTAAAATGAATTTTTAGAAGGAAAAGGAAATTAGTTTTCGAGAATTTAAGGTGTAAAACTTTGTTTTGTGACTCTAAAATAAGATTTTTTAATTAAAATTAGTAGATTTTTGATAGTAAAACTAAGAATTTTGAAGGATTTTTGATTTTAAAATGCGAATTATGAACTAAAATGGGAAAGAAAAACAATTTGTGAAGTAAACTATAAATTTGAAGGGTAATTTTGCTTCAGACCTTGTTTGACCTGTCAGTGCCTAGTGTGGCAAGAACACGCGCTTTTACCAAAGACCAGTCGAAAATGGAATAGAAAGTCGAGCAATTTTAATTTTTTAGTTTAAAAATCGTTTTTTTTTGCCACAAAAACATGGTTATAAAAAATTTTAATTTCGGACAGAAAAACTTTCACTAAAAAATTTCAAATTGTGTCCTTTTGTCAAAAAAACAGTTTTTGATATTCTAAAACCTGTTTTCGTTCAAAATTCAAGTTCTTGTCCTTCTTCGGCCGGTCTTTGGTTCTAGTGCTTGCGTCTTGTCCTGCTAGGTACGCCTTGGATGTTGTCCTAACTGCTCGCGAAGTCTGAGAAGTCAGGAGGTGGCTCGGTGGTCAGAGGTTTCACCTTGGGGAAGGAGGTACCCCACCTCCTTCCCCACTTGGAGGGGCGACTCCATCACCCCGTCCTCCAATAAAAAACATAAAGGTGGAAAATATTCGAATAAACAATACGCAGGCATACTCGGAATATATATTTATTCAAAGAAAAATTGGGCATGGCCCCGTGTTCTGGAGGTGGATACCGAGTTCACTACTTGGTAGGACCAAGCGGAGTCAGCCTTCTGACTTCTCGGTCTTCGCGAACAGTTAGGACAACATCCAAGGCGCACCTGGCAGGGACAAAGATCAAGCAAATCCAACCAAACACCGGTCGAAAAATGGACAGAAAGTTGAAGCTTGAACGACAAAGGCTTTAAACGACAAAATAAAACTTTGGTACCAAATTTACAAGTTTTGAAGTTTGCATAAAAAATGTTTTCTTGACGAAAATCAAAATTTTTGATGAAAAAAAACAACATTTTTTCAAGTTATAAATACAAATTTTAATCTAAAATTTTCAAAATCAACTTTCCATCCCCTTCCCTACCTGTCTTCGATCGGAATTGCCAGTCAGAGTATATCAGGCACTATGCAAGGACGTCAAACCAGGTCTGAATCCAAATCACCTCTCAAAGTTATTCTTACTTCGAAAAATGTATTTTTATTTCAATTTTAAGTCAAACACCATATTTTAGAATTAAAAAAAATATTTGCCACTTTAAAACTCGTCATCAGACCCTGTTAGACCTACCTTGCTCTTGGACCTCCTCCTAACCTAGCTAGGAACCAAAGTCATCAGAAGGGAGAGCGGGTACAGAGACCCACTCAACAACGCGACATATAGGTAATAACGCGCAAAATACAATAAATAATACAAACATTGTGATAGATTACATTATTCTTTCTGCATGTCCTTACAGATTACGGACTGGTTTCATCTTATGTCATTCATCAGGAGTCATCGTCCTCATCCTTGGCACTTGACCTTGTCCATTTCTGACCATGTTTAGCTTGAGCTTGTCCGGTCTGTGGGCCTTGGTAAACGCTGTATTGGTTCAGTAGAAGCTTCTGAAACATTCAAACATTATATTACAATAGAAAAAAATTTTTTAAATTTTACTTTAAAGTCCTATTTTAACAATGATACTCGGATACGACTCGCTACATTAAAGTATTACAACAAACCAAACAAAAGTTACATATTAATATATTATAATAGCTAAAATATCAGAAACTTTATTAAAGAAAAACATACCTATATTTAATATTACCCATCATCAATAGCCACAAAAGTCTTGGTTTAAATTCGCCTCAGAAGCTGTAGCAACCATTTATGATCAAACGAGGATAATCATCATAAGTCCCTTTGCTCTATTGGGGCCATAAGATAAACTCCTAAAACAAGCAAATAAATAAAATAATATCGACAAAATGTTAATTTAGCTTTACAATTAGCTTTTGTTCAGAAAATCTAAAAAATTAAATTCACTCGAATGTCAAGTGCAATATCCTAACTTCCTCATATCTCAAAAACAAAGTAATATCGGCCGTTCCATTGTCTACCTATAGAATAACTTTATACTATCGCTGCTATTAAGCACAAGTTCAAAGATTTATCCCTCTATCTTACTTCAAAAACCGGCAAAACCATCTGATGTCATGTGTAATATCACAAACCGGTCATAACTCAAAAGTTGCACTAATTTGCTAAGCTAAACTTTAAAATCTACAGTAAACAAGACTCAACACAACTACTGAATTACAATTTAAAGTATTATCGTTCAAAACGCCCTATAAAATCCACAAATCACTTTTATGTCTAGTGTAAGATCTAAAAATTCGCGTGGCTCAAAAAAGACAGCAAACGCCTTTGCCAAACTTTTAACATTTGTTAAACAACTGATGTTCTTACTAAAACAATAAATTCAACAAGCTAAGCCTTTGATTTACGTCTAAAAGTTACGAGAGACCTTTAAGTCAAGTATAACATCGCGTAATCTTAAAATCTCCAAAATGAAGCCAAAATATCGTAAGGAACCAATCTCAGTAATAGAACAACCCCTCTCGCTTACTAACAAGCCAAAAACTCAATAGAATCTCCTCCAAAAACCACCAAAAAGCTAGTTCAACATCGAGTTTGACCTTCAAACCTTCTTCATACCTAAAAACCAACCCAAAAAATAAAATAACTTACATTTACCACAACGTGCACATCATTTACTCCATATTTTCGTGTATCCATCAACAGAGTCCATCATATATTCGGGGTTCGAGCCAAATTTCGCAAATTCATCGTCAAAATCACCGCTAACGGCAGATTGCGACGAAATGCCAAATCGTTTGTTTTCGTTGCGAGACCCAGTGAGAGTAAAGCAAAACTAAAATTCTAAACATTTTTGAATCTGACTTTCATGAAATTGTCTAAAAAAAGTTACTATAGCTAAAAACTAAACTTTTTAAACTATTTTTCAATTTTTAAAAGGCATCTTAAAGACCAGTGTTCTTTAAGACCTCTGTAAAATAGTTTTGGCTAGAACCTTCGACCGGTAGAATATAGAAACTTTAAATTTTGGGTTTACAAGGTTATTAGCAATATGTTTCATCTTGTAATGTTTCAGTACTTTGCCTCTTATAATCTTCTTTGTAGAAACATTTCAAACATATTACCCTTGCAACACAATATTAAAGCTTCTTTTGCTCATAATTTTCGACCGGTCGGACGTGCAATTTTAATATTGTGGGTTTACAATGTTCGTATCAATAGTGTACAGTGTGCTTAATATCAAAATTTTGTCTTGTAAAATACGGCAGCAGGGCTTTGTTTTCTAAAGTTAGTCAAAAATCGTTGGATTTTCAAGTTTCTTTCGTCGAAAACGTGCCATTTTTATCGTTATATGGTATATATTGGTTATAAAACTATATTTATTTTCAAGAATATTCTTTTTCAATCATTTTTATATGGTTTCATCAAGTCCCGTCCAATTATATTGTGTTTTATTAGCCAAAATAGCAAAAAAGTCTAAAATTTGTCAGGTAAAACAATAGCAATATATAGAATTTGTAAAAGCCAAAACAATGGTTTAAAAATTTTGTTCGAATTCATAAAAGTTTAGAGAGTACGGGGAAAGCGTTTTGGGGTACCGGTCGATTAAAAGGGAGAGAGAGAGAGAGAAGCCGAGAATAAATAAGAGAAATGGCTGGAAACAAGTGTAATATCGTCGAGAAAAGGTGGATAACATTGGAATAGAGGGTCCATAGCTAGGAATATAGTGTTATTAGGTATTGGAGAAGCCAGTGGGGAATTGTTTTGAAAAATTTCAAAAAATTTTGACATTTCGAAAAAATTTTAAAATTTCAAAAAAAATTTTTAAATTTCGAAACTTTTAAATGAAACCTCAAATTACTGTCAAAACACATCCCATTGACCCTAAAAACTCAAAAAAAATTTTAAAAAATTTGTACGTTTAAGAGAAGCGCCAGCCGGCTAAAACAAGATCGATTTTCATGAGGATTAGACGTTTACATTGTGTTGTAATGGTTTTCCATAATAAAAAAGCGATTTAAAAGTTGAAAAAATTAAGGAACAAGTCAATCATATAATGATAAAATATCTAGAAATCCAAAAAATGACAAAATATTAAAAAATTTTAAAAATTTCGAAATTTCAAAAAAGAAATTTAAAAAACGACAAAACTTAAATCTCTAATCAAAAATGTCATTTTCTACCAAAATTTATAAAAATGATGACATTTCTGACCAAAAATTTCAATTTAAAATAGATGCAAAAAGAATGGCGCGATGACATACTTTAGTTAATATTATTAGAATTTCCGATCAATACTGCCATTTCTTAACGTATATTGTAAGAAAATGACGTTTTAAACCAAAAATTTTGATTTTAGGTTGATGCGAAAAGAATAGCGCATGAAAAACTGCCATAACGCGAAAAGTTTCAAAGAATAAGTGAGGCAAAAAAGTCTTGTCGTTTATTTCAACGTATTTCAGTGATAAAAAACAACAAGACTTTTTTCTGAGAGAAGCTGATAAAAATGGTTGATAAAAGTGATCATGGTTAAGCTAATAGTGACGTTTAGTGTCATTAAGACCAAAAAGTAATGTCATATGTCATAGACTTATGTCATAAAGTCAAAAAGTAATGTCATAGGCCAAATAACCATATGACAAGACCAATCTCATATGACAAATATGATTTCTACTCCACACTGGGCAGTGGGTTGGACTTTAGTTGTTGCATTAATGTCATCATGGAGGCGCCGAACATCTTCTCCATCAGGTCGAACTGCGACTGTGAAATGTCATCGCTTTTCACGGATTCGGTCGAATTCGGTGCCTGAGGGGAGGAACGACTCGACGGGTTGGAGTCGTCGCTATTTTGGCCCTCCGCACTTAGGACCGGCATTTCTTCGGGTTTGAAGCCGGCTTCGAAATTCGAAGCCTTGTCAAATCCAGCCTGAGGGTCAAAGTTGGCAGCCTTGGCTAAGCTCTCGAGGTTGATCAGGTTTTTGGCCAATGTTTCAAAGTTGGTCGCATTTTTGGTCAAATTTTCGAGGGTGGTACTGTTTTTGGTCAAAGAGTCCAAGTTGGTACCATTTTTGGCCAGGCCTTCGAAACTAGTCGCGTTTTTGCCCAGTCCCTCAAAAGTAGTACCATTTTTGGCCAAAGAATCCAAATTGGTACCATTTTTCATCAAACTTTCAAAATTGGTACCATTTTTGGCTTCAAAACTGGTCATATTTTCGGTCGAATTCTCAAAACCATTGTCAGCCGAACCCTCAAATCCTTCCCCATCAAAAGGCGTGGCATTCTCGGGCTTGGCCGCGTCGCCAGCCAACTGTTGCAATTGGACCGAGCGTTGCAAAAGTTCTTGCAGTGGGTTGGACAGGTTGTTTAGGCCAAACAGATTCTCGATAGACAGGCCGGTTTGTTGCGCGGGCGGGGTTTGTTGTTGTTGTTGGGTGAGGAAGGCGAGTGGAACGCCGAACTGGAGGGGTGGGAGGAGGTTGGAGCTGGGCGACTCAACGAAACTACTGGTAGAGCCCTCCGGCGATGAAGGGGTTTCGAAATTCGACTAAAATTTGGAAATGAATTTTCATTTTTTTCGATTTAAAAATTTTTTTTATTAAAAATATATTATATAAAATTATTTTTCGTTTTTAAAAAAATAATTTTTATGAACTTTAATTTAAAATTTTAATTTTTAGGCCAATCTTAACGCCCTATAAGCATTTCATTTACAGTACTTCCACTTTAAGCTCAATTTCTACAAAAATTTTTAAAACTTCAAAAAAAGTAAATCGAGACGTTTGTAAAGCATAAAAAGATGTATATTATTCCCAAGTTTCGTTATTATACTTAGTTTTATTAAAAAGTTATCATCAATTAAAAAAGTCGAAAATCAAGGAAAGTTCGATTCCGCTTGGAGACAGCGCATAAAAAAGTTGATTTTTAATGAAACTTTTTTAAGATTGAAAAACGTGTCTTGACACGTTTTTAGGGCATAACAAGCAGTATTTTATCCCCAAGTGTCATGATCGTAGTTTGTTTTTTAAAAAACTTATGATCACTTGAAGTTTAAAAAAGTCAAAAATCAAGAAAAGTTCGGTCCCGCTTTGAATCAGTCGGGGTTTTTTGCGTTTTCCAATGAACATTAAACCAGCATTGAATTTATTATGAAAAATATTAATCTACACCCTAATATTTTTTACTCAAATGTCATTTTTATCCATATGTTTAACAAAAAATGTAATTATTGGTTAATTTTTAGTCAAAATACCCTATTTCTTTCAGCTTTCAGCCCAAAAAAGTCATTTTTGTCAAATTTTTTTCGACAAAACTCCAAAAATACTCACTGGATTCAAGAACTGCCGACTTCTGTTCTCTTCGTTCGACTTTCGACGCATTTCCTTGCGTTTGTTAGCGAACCAATTGGCAATAACCTGTGGCGTTACCACTTCTTTCGGCATTAGCTGGCCGCCTAAAATCACTATAAATTAATGTAATGTCATTCATGTTGAATATGAAATGGCAAATTATCATTAATTTAAAATTTTTTACTACTTTATACCCGCTTGGATACGATTTTCTTATTTTACTTCTAATATCTTTCTAAGTTTCGGGTACCGCCACGAAAACTTGAAATGTGGGTATTATGGTCTCAAAAGCCAAAATATATACTTTTACTGCTTCTAATGGCCAAATGTGATTATGTAGCATTCAATTTCCAAGTTTTCTTATATTTTAAAAACTATCTTTTGGGTTCCGCAACGAAAACTTGTCATAGTCTTTTTTGGGTCCCAAACGCCGATACTTGACATTTTATAACCTTCCATAGTTAATACCAACATCTTTTTTGATTTTAATATCCCAAATCGGCCGTAGTTGATAATTTTTATCAAAAAATCTTGGCATTCCGCTTCAAATCCCAAAAAGCCCGCCAAATCTCCCACAACTCTAAAAACTAACCTCGTTTTTCGGCTTGTAGAGCCGTGTTGCATGCTTGTGCGATTTCCGATCGTTTATTGCCATCGGGGAAGGGGGATTCGGCAAAGAATTGCTCCAACATTCGTATCAAGACCGGGCGGAAGACGTAGCGTTCACGTCGTTGTGGTACCAGTTCACCGTCACCATTGGTCTCCAATCGAGTGGTGGGATCTTGACAGTACATGGCTGGATGACGACGACAGTTCAGGTACCATGCGTATATGTTTCGACGGCATCGTAGTGACAACTCGCGATGATTTCCGTTTAGAAGTTTGGAAATGTAGGGTTGGGAGACGCCTGAAGAAGAAAATTTTAAACTTTTTTTTGATTCAAAACATAAATTTTTGATTCTAAAATTATTTTTATAAAAATGAATCGATACTTTCGTTATAAATTAGGCGAAAATGTCAGGTTTTCAATTTTTTAAATCGGACATGTTTCATCGTATAAAATGGCCCGCGCAGACTGCAAAATGCAAAAACAGCAAAAAACAAAAACTAAAATTCAAAATATTGCTAGAATAGGATACCTAAAAAAATAAAATCCATAAATAAATTTAAAAAAATGACAGTTTACGTGTTCCATCGTATAAAATGGTTCGCGCAGACTGCAGCTGCAAAACAGAAGTCTAGATAGAACTGCTGGTAAAAAAATATTTTTATGACAATTTTAGACACCATAAGGCCGAGAAAATCATAAACTAAACTAGAAAGCGCATATTTTTAAGTCGGACATTTTTCATCGTATAACATTGCTCGCGCAAGCTGCAGAAGGCAAAAACGCCATTAATTGGTCGAAACAAATTTGAGAATTTTTAGAAAACAAAAAATTATCAAATCCCAAAAATAACATTTTCATACCGTACTAACCACATTTTTTCCGAAAAAATCTTTAAAAATCAAGTACAATATCAGACTGCACGGTGCAATACAAAATTTAAAAAAACCATTTAAAATAATTTCAAATCCAAAAATATTGCCTTACCCGTCATCTGAGCAACCGTCGTTTGTCGCAGCGAGTATTGTGTGATGAACTTTTTCATGTCACTGATACAGGCCTCTTCACCTTGAGCCATGAACTGTTCCAGTTCGTTTGGATCCTCCAACGTCGTTATGTCTTTCATGGGCTGTCGCTGGGATCGAATTGGTCTGGCTGCGCCCAATGGCGGCCTCGACAATGCGGAGCTAGACTGGTTGGCCATGGAGACGGTCGAGGCGCCGAAAACGCAAGATTCTGGAACGGTGGTGAAGGCGCACCGACTCGCGTCCGATGCTTGGCCCAGCGACGAGGTGGACTGTTGTTCGGCTAGCTGAAATTTATGTTGAGGTAAATTTGCATATTTATTGAATGTTTAAAATGAATTGTCAAAAATGCTGTTCAGAGGCTCGGTATTCGAAGATAAATATATTATAGTAGATGAGTTGAACATAACAAGTCAAAACGTTTTTGAATCACGCCCTAAGACAATGAAACTAAAACTGCAAGATAGACCATTATCGTCTCTATCAAATAGTACCTAAATCCTTGTTCACCTTCTTAATAAACTTTTCGATGTTACACTGGACACCAATACCTAAAGCCGAACAAAACATGCCACAATTTTCTCTAACCAAACGCTAAGGCTACAAAACAACAACCACAAGCAAGCTCATTCTTTTCTCCACCTAAACACACCAAACACGCCTAATCTTGAATACTTGGACCCACCTAATCATCCCCAAATCCCCGACCAACCCTGAAAAGCCAAAAACCTTCCAAAAGCCAAAGTTACAGTAATCCCTTGGAAGCAGGCCTTATTTATAAACATAATCTTGCAAATTGTTTGTACGTAAACCATTGGTACAGTTTTCGATCCGAAAATAGTCCGAAATGCGTCACCTTCAACAGCATCCTCAATATAGATCATGAAAGCGGAAGATACGGAAGAGATACGATGAAAGCGGATTAATTCTTGACTAATTACCAGAAAAATGATTGTAATAGGGTTATGAGTAGACGAGGATAATAATTAGAGAGACAATTTACTTATTTTTTTCGAATTTCGAGACATGTTTCATCGTATAAAATAGTTCGCGCAGGCTGCATTGTAGAAAAATGAGTAAAATCGGCAGTGAAATAATAAAGTCTGACTTATATGACAACTTTAGATGCCATACACTTGTAAAAATCATAAATTAATCAGAAACCCATATATATTACTGGGACATGTTTCATCGTATAACATGTTTCGCCCAGGCTGCAGAAAAAAACGGCTATAATTGACCGGGAACGGTTAAAATATGAAATCTTTTGTACTTTTCAGGTAGCCACTAGTCATAAAATGCCAAAAAAAATTACTAGTAGTCATACGCAACGTACTGGCCGAGTACCTATTCAATAATAATCAGCTAAAACACCTTTTGGACCACAAAAAACCAGATTTTTAAGCTGCTTAAGGCCATTTGGCTTATATCAATATGACTACTTATAACATACAGTATCCAATAATATCACTTATGACATAAAATACTCGTTACTATCACTTATGACATACAATATGCATTACAGTGCACTTATGAGCTACAATATCCATTACTATCTATCACTTATGACATTACAAGCCCCAGTTACTACTTATGACATACCGCGGGCCGTGTAATACTACGCTGTTTACAACACGAAATGGCATCAATTACATCAATTGATAGCAAATCGTTTGTTTACGCCAATTACTATAGTCATCATCGTATCTATACAATACTATTACAAAAGGGGAAGTTTGGTAACGATTTTGTAATAACAATACAAAAGTATTCGATTATTGTCACAAACCACAAGGTTTTTAATGTACTGTATAGTTCTTCAGATTTTGCACGGTGCAGTCTTATATTGACTGCACAGTGCATCCTAACCATAAATCACTGCGCGGTGCAAAACAATTAAAAGTCTGCACAGTGCATTTTTATAATAAAAGCCTGCACGGTGCAATCCTATTATAAGACTGCACGGTGCAGACTACTAATAAAAGGCTGCACGGTGCAAACCAATTTTAAGACTGCACAGTGCAACCAAATAAAGACTGTACAGTGCAAGCCTGATTAAAACTGCACGGTGCACACTTTTTCAACCTACTACAACATCGAATAAACATAACTTTTGACCCCAAAACTTGAAGAAATAACTGTTCAAAGTTCAGAAAACGCCTTCAACCGTATTACAACAAAAAAGAATGACAAGAGACAAAAAAACTTATTAGAGAAAAATAACTTTTTATCAGTTTTTTTTTGTTCAATTGATTAGAACGACAAGTTTAGTCTTTAACAAAACATTTTTAGTACATTGTGATTGTGATACATCTAAAATGGTAAAACAAAGCTATTTTAAGTTTCAGAACCGTCAAAAGTATTGATTTTTCTCTAAATGCCAAAAGCAAAAAATTAAAGACAAAGTGTCATAATATGCAAATTTACGATTAAAAATAAAAAATTTTTAAAAAAGTAAGAACTTCATTCTATTTGGTACCTAAGTTCATAATTCCGTAAAAAACTAATAAGAACGAGTACTTTAATCAACACGAAATACTTACGACACTAGTATAATTTCATACCTAATTGTAAAATACGGCATCATCAATGAACACCCCTAAACCCTTCCCATATCGTAGTACAATACCATTGTTACGACACATTCAAATTTTACACCACGACCTTAACCCATAACCAAAGTTATGACCAATCTTATATGATCATACCTATACCAATAATATAAACCAAAACCAAAATTTACAACCTTATCACTACAAAACTGCTTACCTGTTGCAACTGTCGTACCAGAATACTGTTGGGGATGTTGGAGGCGGCGTCAGTGGGATTAAACGTCGGCGTGCTCGCCGTACTGGCCGCTGGGAACGTCGAGAAATCGGCCGCCGGATTAGCGGACTCGGTTTCCATTTTGTCCATGGCTCGGAACGCCTGAAACTCAATAGATATTAAGGTACGTTAATATTCTTTGTTTGTTATTTATATATAATGTTCACATACTCACAAATTTTAAAAAATTTCAAAATTTAAATTTTTTTCAAATTTTTCAAAAGTTGGTAAAATGACAAATATATTTCAAGACAAAATGTTGTACAAAATGTTGCGAAATTTCAAAATAACACAACTTATTACGGATTAACGAAGTCATAATGAGCTAAAGTAAATCGTATTTGTATTACAAATTCCGCCAAAACATACAATTTACGGCTTATGATCGTATTTGTCATAAACAACAAGTATTACCATCGAACATCGTTGAAAAGTTGAGAAAAGCGCAAAATTCGATAAAAAACAAATAAAAATAAGCTTAAATTGATGTATTCTAATGATAAAATGTTTATTTTAGTGTGTTAATATTTCAAAAACAATATTCTAAACCTCTTTAATCCAAAAAATGCATCAACAACTTCAAAAAGCCAATTATCTCCGATGAGGTTCGTACCCGCAACCTTTTGCACGCAACGCCGACGCGCCACCACTGAGCTACGCAAGCACGCCAAAAAGTTTTTTGATAACCTGTACTTTTTCTGTATTATCTTACTAATCGTTACCCAAAAAGGTCTCCAAATCCGTTTTAAACCCAAATTCTACGTAATTTCAAACCAGTTTTCAATTTCAACCCAACAATTAAATGTTCCAAAATTATTTCAAAAAAGGTTTGTCTGTACGGTATGTTAGTTGTAAGTATAAATTACCTTAAAGTTAAAAACCTAAAAATTATCACGTAGACGTTTCTATGTCATTAAAGCTATTGTAGTGTAAGTTCCAATGAAGTACGTATTTAAGTCGTTTTTTGCCTCAATTATGAGTTTAAGACATGAACAAAATATGATTCATTACGAGACCAAAAACAAGTAAAGAATGTCACGTAAACATGTAAATGTGTAGTTGATACTATTTTTAGCCGTAAAATGGCAAACGACTTTAAAAAATTTTAAAAAGTTTTATTTTTTTGCACGGTGCAGTCAGTTTTTTTTATTTATGCACTGAGCAAAATTCTATGAACTTTTTGACCTAATATTTTAGATGTAGCATTTTAGTGTGACAAAGACCATAAGTACCAAATTTAAAAAAATTTCATCACAAAAGATTCCAGAAATTTAAAAATTTCAAAAAAAGCTGCACAGTGCAGTCATTTATTTCAAACTTTTGCACTGTGCAGTCCCTCTATTTACTTTCTGACCACAAAAACGACAAAACCTAATAAAATTTATAGTTCCTGACCAAACGTGACCCAACAGTTACTATCACCACATACGAAACCTACCAAAACACCTGTTTTTTCACTTCTAACCTACTATAATATACGACATGATACGAAAACCTTAAAAAACTAATTTCCTGCATTACAAGTTATTTGTCGAATGTAACAACTGGGTAATCTCTTCACCCCCACCGTAATATATTATAGTAATATGTCACTAAAATTGTCCATTAATCCCCTCGGGCCATTTCATATCTTATAGTTAAAGTTTAACCGCTACATTATGGTGGTTAAGGATGTTTATGTAGAGGATGAGAGAAGATAGTGTAAACAAAATTTTGTCATTTTTAAAAACGTTTTCAATTTTTAAAGTATTAATTTTAAAATTTTCAAAAAATTTTAAAAGTTGAAAACTTGAAAAATATTGAAAAAGAAAGTTCTTGCGGTTTAAAAAAATCAAAGCAAAATAAAAAAAATAGCAAGAACTTTCTTTACAGCCAACAAATTTTTCAAAAAAAACCCACAAAAACTTTGTTTACAGCCCAAAAACCGTTAAAAACCGGGCGTTTGCAAGAACTTTCTTTCCAAAGCCCCTCAAATTCATAAACTAATACCTAAAGCTTACTCTCTACCTAATCTTACTACGAAATCCTTAACTATTACCAAAAAAGTTGACTTATTAATGTACCAAAAAGTTCAAAACGACTAATCCCCTCGAGGCAATTAGCTCCACAACCAATTACAGTATGAGAGCGGATTACTGTGTGTGATTACTGTAAAACGCGGAAATTGTCACGTTCCGGGATTTCGAATAAATTCTTTTTCAATTTTCCAATTTCAAAGAGATTTCTTGTTTAGAACCTGAGGGCATTTAGCAAAAAAAAGGATTAGTCTTTGTTAGTGCCAAAATTAATATTGTATTTCGGGAAGGTATTGTAAAGTAAATCGAGGAAGCTATTTTCGTACAAAAGCCATTGAGAAATGGCATGGATTTACGCGGTTTTTTGGGTTCGGTATTAGTAAAAAATTTTTTTCTATAAGGGGGTGGTTTTGAAATGCGAGAACTTTATTTACAGTCAGGTAAGAGAAAGAAAAAAAGGGCAAAGAAAAAAGAAAAATTAAAAGTTATGAGATATTACAAGTTTCCTTTTTCGAAATTTTTTAATTCAATTTTTTTTCAAAATTTCAAATTTTTTTTTAATTCAAAAAATTTTTTAAAATAATAAATAACAACTTCTAGGGATTTATGGACCGCTCAAAACTCCAAAAAGTTTCATTTCTACAAATTTTTTGACCAGCTCCTACTATATCTTCACCATTCCCTACACCATAACAACCCCTACCGTCTAACGATTAGCCTCTACCCCTTAACAACTAGTTCCTAAAACAACGTCAATATACAGTCAAACCTCTTTAGTATAAAACTCAAGGGAATGGTCTAACCTGTCCTTATAACCAGGGTGTCACGCTCTTTTTGATACAAAAGACTGTCAAGAAGCAGACATTATGTGAAACTTCTTTAATATCACCCTTGATAGTATGAAATTCTCTTTATAATGACAGCTACCATACTATCAAGAGTCATACTAAACAGAATTCACAGTATAATACATATATACCAAACTCCATATCCCTTACCTCCTAAGAGAAGTCCGTACAACAAAATCAATATATAATAAGTATATAGCAACCTTAACAACCTACCCCTTGACTTTACAGCCCGAATCAGCCGACATTCCGCGACTTTTATAAGCCTGGGGAATGAAGCGCCAAATCCGCTTTTCGGCCCAAAAACAAACATTCATGTTTTGCCCTATTATGACATGTAATGAGCTTTTTCCCGAATTTAAATTTGAATAATTACTGAAATCTGGTAGGGCATTAAGTTGATAGCGAAATATTAAACATCTTTTATTTTCTTGTTTAGGATTAGGGTTTGATACTGTAATTTTATTGAGCAAAACAGCATTTTTTGGCTTGTAAAATGCGTTTTTTAAAGCGAAACAGCCTTTTAGGTAACAAAAAAGGCTTATAAAACATTGCACTTTAACGTCTTTTCAAATATTACCTTTGGTTTTACCTTTTTACCACTCCCATTATATCTATACCAAAAAACATCCAAGCGGATTTGAACCTTTTTGATTTTTGACATTTTCAAATTGTCATAACTTTGTCAAAACTCAACATATCAATATATAAATTGAGTAAAACATGCCATTTTAGATGCCTATAATACTATATTCAAATTTTAAAAAATTAAAAATTTTTTTTAATTGAAAAAAATTTTAAACTTGGTCCCCCCTGTGGATTTTTTCGATAAAATTCAACCCCCCCAAAGCGCTTTTACCCCGCCCTCCATCCCTACCAAACACACCCCTAACAACACCTACTATCTCCTTTTATCATTATCTTACCACTACTATACAATCCCAATCCAATCTACCCCAATATCATTAAAATTTCGAGTCGATATCATCAACATGTTCAAGGTTTTTTCAATGAATTGGCTTCAGAAGCGTATTACGATCGTAAAGCGACTTAAACCCCGAGATAATATAAGACATCAATTAAGGCAAAGTTACTTTTGATTATTTGTGTCCAAAGATCCCCGTCCGATCCGATTTGGTAGAGTTTAATAAATAATGGCACATTTCATTCGCATCGTGCCAACGCAGTAATGTCGTCGTTTTTAAACGCACTTTTTCGTGGAATTTCGGAGTTTAAAATAGTATATGTACTTTTTAAAACCAGTTCGACTTGAAAGACGATCGTATTTTACCTAGAGCATCTTTTGAACTATTAAAATAACTTACAAAGTCCAACTACAACAAGCTCAAACCTAAAACATTCGACTAGAGTCCCAAAACGAAGACTTGTGCAATTACTTTGCATCTTAATGTAACTTAAAAATATGTTATTTAAAATCAAATTAGTGGTTTTATTCGCCTTAACTATTAAAATTTTTTTTATTTTTTAAATCTTCGTACTTTTTGGTCCCACCACGAAAACTTTAAAGTGCTGTTTTTTAGAGTATTGAAAAGATACATTAAAATGAATAATAAATTAACAAAGTTACTTGACTTTTATTTTAAAAAATCTAAAAATTTTAAAATTTAGTTATTTTTGGTCCCACAACGAAAACATGGCATTCCCTTTTACGCTTATAAATCGGAAAAACTGACATAAGAATAGAATAATATATGTATTCCTGCTTCCATATAAACTTTTCTAACCTACTTTACCTGCCCTACTCCTCCCTACAATACCCTAACCTGCTCTACCATACTCAACATTAACCTAACCTACCGTAACACCCCTATAGCAATAAAAGTGCAATTACTTTAGTTTTGTCTCATTTTTTCCTCAGCTGACTTTAATGTTTAAACCCATAGTAATATGTCACATCCCACAGTAAGAACCAAGTTCTGAGTAAGCCTGTTACACTACAATCATATACCGACACGTACACAACCTTTACAGCTAGACGACTACCCCATGCTGTAGTTTTAATGTCAGTTTATACTCTCCAGACGAGCGAATAACAAGCCAATTGTGTAATTGGAAATGTCAATTTCTTGAAATGATAAAAGGCATATTGAGGTAGAGAAAGAAGACTACAATTGGGCTACAAATAATGAACAGGTACAATGTTCTGTAGGTGGAGTATAAAGTATACGATGTGAAACGTGACTATGGCTGCAAAAAATGCGACGGA